TCTTCACCTCCTATCAGCAGAACGACTGGTCAAAGCTACTCGCTCGAGCTAGCTTTGCTTACAACAACACCCAGCACTCTGCGATAAACAAAACCCCATTCTATGCGAACTATGGATATCACCCTCGTTGGGCTGAAGAGATAAAGGCTAGCGAGGTCGAAGTGCCCGCTGCTACGGTGGTGGTAAAAGACTTGACTGAAATACACAAAGATTGTATCGAAGGAATTGAGAAAGCTAATGAGAAGTACGCCGAAGGATACAATAGGAAACACCGGACTACGCCGAACTTCGCGGAAGGAGACCTAGTGATGCTGTCGTTAGAGAATATTAAGACGAAGAGACCAATGAAGAAGTTAGATGTTAAGCAAAGTGGGCCGTACAAGGTAGTACGGCAGGTAGGTTCTCATGCTTGTAAATTGGAATTACCAGGAACGATGGCAGGTATCCATGATGTATTCCATGTCTCCTTGCTCCGTCCTTATCACCCTCCAATATTTCCTGGTCAGCAAGCTGAGCCACCTGGGCCAGTAGAAGTAGACAATGTGGGAGAGTCTTGGGAGGTAAAGGATATCGTGGACTCTAGAGTAAATAAGAGGTCAGGAAAGTTAGAGTACTTGGTGGAGTGGTTAGGTTACGAAGGAACAGACGATTCAGTATCATGGGAACCAGTGGAGAACGTCGATGGAGCTGATGACATATTGGCGAAGTTCCACGAACTTCACCCTACTAAGCCGAAGGAAGGGCGACTGCGAAGGGCTAGGAGATAGAACGTACTGCATACAACATAGGATTACAGCTACGTACCGCTCACTTGTCCTTACTCTTACCCTTACCTTTTCCTTTTCCTTTCTCCTTCGATCTACTCGGTCCCGCGGGATTGGTGTGGAGGCTACCGATGACCGAAGGTAGATCGAGAGTCTCAGACGGGAACGCAGTAGAGAGAGAAGCATTCCATGCCCGATTCATAGCCCCAAAGAAGTCACCGAAGTCCTGGACATCTCGAGCAGCTTGCATGCTCGGGGTCCTCCACAGAGAACGTATGGTCCGTAGACACTCGAAGGGAAGACTGAGGAGGTCGAGAGCAGTCTGGGCTGAAGCTGGGACACGAGAATTACTACGGCGACCTAACCAGTCAAGGGACGGTGGTGGCTCATACGCCATAGGAGTGACTAGGAAGGGGGTGTCGAACAGTCTTCGGCGAACATCGGCTATCTCAGTAAGGCTTCGGCGAGAGACGTCCGCTAACCTTGTCCTTGCTTCGTCGTCCAGAGCCCCAGTGTTGACTACATCTACTAACGCCGCAGTAAGATTGTTTAAAGCGTTAGCTTGACGAGAAGAGAAGTCAAGCAGGAGAGATGTATCATTTCGGGCGGCCTCAAGCTGAGTAGTGAGACCGAGGACGAGAGAACGATAAGTGGCGAGTTCCTTTTCGTCCTCAGGAATACGGACGTCCAGGGAGATACGAGGGTGGACGAGGGACAACCGGGGAGCAGAGGGACCAGCACGCTGAGTATCTTCATTTTCCACATCACCATCATTGAAGGCAACCTCCTTCCCTTTAGATTTCCCTTTTGATTTCTTTAAAGAAGACTTCGGTGTCTTCTGGGAAGCAGAGGGAGGGGTGACGGGAGGGGCCGCCGAAGAGGCCGGAGGAACAGAAGGACGCCGACTTCGGGTGCTGTGAGCCGGAGGAGAAGCTACCACTGGAGAGGACGGACGTGGCGCCGAAGGACGAGAGGCCGAAGGACGGGAGGCCGAAGGAGCAGAGGCCGAAGGACGGCGAGAAGACGAAGGAGGAACAGCCGGGAGACGTGATGGGCCGGCCACAGGAGCGAAGGGCGACGGCGACGGAGGCGACGGGCGGAGGTCCGGCGAAGTACGGCGAACCGACCGGAGAGACGAAGACGGTACCCGCGAACGGGGGACAGACGCTGGAGTCTGGGGAGGGGGGAGAGGAGAAGCGTCGAAGGGACGGGGCGGGATGTCCCGGGCAGAGGAAACGGGACAGAAGGAGCAGGGGCCAGACGTGCATGAAGCACAACGGAGGGCCTTGTTGTGTGGCCTGACTGCCTTGAGGCAGGGCCAGTTTGGACGATTATACGTGATAATCTCACGTCTACTAATTAGCAGGACTAACTTCGGCGTAGAACGAATAGGTGGACTCACCGGCAACGATCACACGCTTCGTCAACACCAACCGCGATCCAACGACCAGGCTCGGACTTCATCTTCTCCCACAAGTACTCTTCTTCCCGCAGTGATCTCTTCACCCGTTTGGGCGAAGGCTCCCCTCTGGGAGAAGGGGGGGGAGCAGCGACGGGGACGGCGGCAGCAGGACCGGCGGCGGCGGCAGCAGCAGCGGCGGCAGCGGCGATGGCGTTGGGGGGGGGGAGAACCCCGGAAGAGGAAGAAGAAGAGGAAGAAGAAGAAGAGGAAGAAGAAGAAGAAGAGAGGGAACGGCGTCGTTTCTGGCCCACAATTTGAGCAGGGGGAGGGGCAGGACCGGCTGCGAGTTAGCAATGTCTTGGAGAGCTAAAGAACAGATAAACAAGGCCAAGTTCGGCGAAGGTGTGAGGGGTTGGACGAAGAACTCACGCTCAGGACTATCTACGTTGTTGTCCTCTACACTAATCACCTCCACGTCATCATCCGGGTATTCTTCTAACTCGCTTTCACCCTCACTATCGATCCTACCCTCCCCATCATCATCATCCTCACTTTCTTCGGTGTCGGGTCGATCACCCGACTCCGAGCCCCCACTGAGCGAGTCCTGGTCGGAGGAGGACGGAGACTCACCAGGACGAAAGGCGGGCGTCCTACGGCGAGGAGTGGCGGCAGGAGGAGGCCCTCCAGGAGAACCCGTTACGGGGACGGGAGAACCAGCGGAGGGAGAGGCGGAGCGAGGGGGCGGGGCAGCGCCAGACGGCTCCCCCAGAGAGAGAGTGCCGAGGCCGAGGGAGGAGACTTGGCGAGATCTGTCGCCGAAAGAAACTGAACATCAGCCAAGTTTGGCGAGGTAGGGTGAGTATCGATGAAAACTCACGAGCAGATGACACCATACCACCAAAGTTCCTCATGGCGGCGAAAGGGCTGGGTGTAGGAGTAGAAGGGGCCATGACGTTAAGATATTTAAATGAGAATAAAACTCGAGGCGATGATTCAAGGTAACAAATCTGTTTTCTAGGTAAGAGAGATAGAAAGTTTTGAAAGCAGATGGGAAAAAGAGAGAAGCTCGACGAACTGCTCAGTATTTAGTATAATCAAACCTAACCCCTCGTCGTCAACATGCAGCAAACTTCGCGTTTCATCAACAAAAGGCATCGCAGGGACGATCAAAATTCCCACGCTATAGTGTCTCATCTCAATATAAGCGAGGGTTACTTCGACAAACAACGTTGTTGTTCGGCTGCCATTCAGGAAGCGTGTCTCACCTACAAAAGACACAGGGCTTCTTACGGCAAACCTCGACGAAGTTAGGGGAGTCTCATTGTCGGGTTCTGGAGTGAAAGGAGGCCCAACTACGAAGTGCGGCGCAAAGAGCAGAAGAGTGGAGGATGGTCATGGGGAGGGAGAGAATGGGGTGCTACGCTGCTAAGTTCTCTTGCCACGACAGAGGTGTAATCGCTCACGAGGACGTTCGCGGCTAAAGAAGGGGGCGACTGTCACAAACTACGTCGTGACACCTCGATTACTCCACCAACAATGACCCTCCTTTGGCCATCAAAACCCCATCACGCCTTAACCTCTTTACTCTACACGTAACTCAGGACTTCTGACACCAAGTACGGCGAAGTTAGACGGAGTTAGGCTAAGTAGGGACAATGGGAGCAGAAGTACGGCAAAGTTAGACGGGGTTAGGCTAAGTAGGGACAATGGGAGCAGAAGTGCGGCGATGTTAGGCGGGGTTAGGCTAAGTAGGGACAATGGGAGCAGAAGTGCGGCGATGTTAGGCGGAGTTAGGCTAAGTAGGGACAATGGGAGCAGAAGTGCGGCGATGTTAGGCGGAGTTAGTCGAAGGAGGAAGAGGATGGCCGAGGGCTCGGGGAAGTTGGACGAAGTGCGTTGAAGTACGTCAAAGCGCGAGAGGGTTGGATGAACGTCTAGGAGGAGTAGATAATATTAGCTGAGAAGATCGCTGAAGTTCTTCAGCGATCCTTGATTGTTGTCAGTAGTGAAAGACAGATTGAGATAGCTATAAATCAAGATACATCGCCATCAGTAGAAGAAAACCCTAGTTAGAGTAACTACGCCGAAGTACGCCGTAGTTACACCCCTTTCGACGTCTGCGCCCTCCTGGTTGGGTGAGACATCGACTCAGAGCGTGAAGTTAGCCGAGGTTCGTCGACCGTCGGTCTATTAAGAAATAGTTGTTCGACGGCCGTGACATTGATCAGGTTCAGACACAGAATCTTCAAAGGGGTCAAGATAAGTGTTACTTCCATCCTCTAAACCCTGTGAAGTGGGCCATAGGGTAGCACCAACAGGGATTTTTTCTTTGCCAGCACTTCGGGCAAGCTCGGCCCAGTATTCCCTGCCCATTTCGGATGTCTTTTTTATTTCTTTTGGATCTATGGAATATGAATCTGCTTGTTGATGAATGTTTTGTCAGCTTTATCTTTTATGAAAGTCTGAATGACCAGATGGATTATTAGTAGAGTGCTCTTGAATGATTGTAGGGGTCAATAATATGGAAGTGGGATATTGGTCAATAATCTCAGCATAAGGCCAAATCCTTTGACCCTTGACCATATTCTGGAGGTTGTAACATGTCACATGACTGATGATCTCATCATTTGTTCATTCGTATCCTTTCGGACCGTAAACATATCCATGTCAGCTGCTCTCTTACAGATGGAGTTTCAACCACAAACAGTATGTCTTTCTCCTGACATATGTCATATTTCACCATCACCATTTAATTCTCAATCCTTGATCCGTTTCATTATTCCACCGTCACCATTTAAGCCTCAATCCTTGATCCGTTTCAAAGATCATAAATCTCATCCATTTTTATTCTCCCAATCACTTAAAAGTACCATTTCCCCATCATCCTCCTCTTTCCACTTGATCAAAATTGTATCTTCATCTCTCAACAGTTCCCCCAAATCTCCATAGCTCTCTGTATCTCCAACCTGAAAACTGAGCTTCCAACCGCTCTTGAACTTTTTAGTACGTCTCAACTCTCCATAACTTCTGACCGACAAGATCCCTTCATGTTCTTCACTTCCAGTCATTTCTTTCAACTCCTGCACAACATCTTCAGGTATGTCTTTCTCAACCTTGAGCGCATAATCATCCGTGAAAGGAACTACTAAAGTTGATTTCATCCTCTTTAATTTAACTTTGAATGAAGCTGGGAAATCTCGATCTCCCTCCAAGGTTTCCTTGAGCCAGTTAGGAATCCCTTTACTGGTTCTCGAAGAGAATATGTTGGTCATGTTTCCCAATAAAGTCGAGGCTGTATGCGACTTGTGGGGGACGGATTTGGAAGACGGTCGATGAGTTCGAGACGGGTTGTGAGAATGTGACTTGTGATGAGATTTTGAGGCAATGTTGGTAGACTTAGTTCTCCTATGATGAGTGATGGTTTGATCGGAATCTGATTCTGATGTAACGGTTCGGGGTAATGGATCAGGAGGTGAGTCTTCATCTTCGGAAGGAAATGGGATATGAGGAGGAGAGTCATATGTCAAAGGTTGTTGTGATTCTAGAGGTGCGGAAGCTAAGTAAGCAGCTAAATCATCATCATTCATATATTGTATATTTGGATCCAGGATTGGCTCATCATTGGTCATTGTATTGATATTATTATCATAAATACCCAGACCCGCAAATCGATCAGCAAGTCCCGCAGGAGGACCAGAAAAATCGTAATCTTGCGTTGCATTGCGTAGCGGGGACATGTCATCGTCTGAAAAATTGTTGAGAGGTGGTTGTGCTGGTCTCAAGGTCTCTCCAGTGGGGTAATAATCGTTTGTCATACCACGTTGACGATATGCGGACGCAGGAGTTCGAGAAAAGGGGGAAGCGGGAGGGAATGTAGAAGGTCCTGCTTCGTTTAGATTATACCCTTGATCAAGAGGAGGCCGGGTGTTGAATCGATCATAGGAAGGACGGTAAGGTGCAGGTGTAGAGGGACCAAAGTCGTCCAAGAAGCTATCCGATACTCTCGTTGTGCGTCTAGGGGGAGTGTGGTGATCCGTCATCAGACCTCGACTCGTATCTGCTCGTCTTGGATGGTTTGGTGAGGATCTGTGATGGGGTGTTTTGCGTTGGCTTGGTGAGTTGTAGGGTTCACCTTCACTGTCAAAATCATCATCATAGTCTTCCTCGTCGTATTCCTCAACATAAGGTCGTGCTCGTTGACGGGAAGACATGTCAGGGAATTAATAGGAGAGATATGGAGATGATGAAAGCCAGGTAATAGCATCGGAGATATTTAATGAAGGGGGAAGGCGTGGTACTTCCTTTCATCACTTCGAACGTGTCGCTGGTCGGACCAGGTGAGAGTCGGAGGTTTCAGACATTCAACAGTGAGACCAGAGAGGTTTGCCTGTTCATTTCACGCTCTCATCACTGTCACCCAATTACCATCCCCAACAGACCTCGTGAAACTTTTTTCGACAAACTGAAGTACGTCAGGCAGTGTCATCTCGAACCAATCAAAGCACTAGTGAGGTCAATGAGTGACACGAATCAGGAGGGACTATAAGGGAGGGTTGCTGTTGATGAGTAAACTTTCGAATGGTGCATGCAAAAATGTTGTAATGATCTACCCTCTGACTTAAAATGAGATCACATATACCCCTTCGTACCTCTCCGAGCCATCTACCGAGTCAGCGAATTTTCTATGTCGCATAATTTATCGAAACGACTCCTAGAATGAAGAAGCACTTACTTCGACTACCTTCCACCCACCCGTCAACTCATTTTCCAATTCCGTCTCCACCCGCGTTATCACCAACGCATACCGACATGTCTCGACATCATTTTCGCTCCCCACTACCACATCACCAGTCTTGGCATTCCTGAAAAGTAGCAACTCTTGAGTGGCAAAGGTAATGATAAACACTGGGATACCGTTCTCAAGCATCTTTCCCTCGGTGACATCGACGTGTTTGATGTCAAGAATTTTGGAATCGGATATGAGACCTTGTTTGATGTATTGACCCATAGTGGCCCAGAGAACATTGTACGTCTGGCAGTCAGTGTCAAAGAGTCGTTTTGAAACATGTAGCAACTTACCGCCTCCCCGCACCATGCCTTTAAGGATTCTCTATCCGCTGACAAGTACGCATCCACCACCTCGGGAACAATGTATTCTCTCAGTTCCCTCGTCCAACTTTCCAACTGGAAATCTGGATCGATCTCTCTCATTGCCCTAATGACACGAGCAGTCTCATTTTCCTCCGACCATCGTCCGACTGTGGTCGTAACATATCTCAAAGCTGAGACGGCGGGGGAGTCGGACTCGTAGTAAGCCTCTTTGAGTCGCTGGAAAGTGGGAGAAGATGTAAGGAATGAGAAGCGTGAGGATGTGGGTTCAGAGTCTGATGCCAATACAAGTGCTTCACCGGCTCTATATATACATCAGTCTTACTCCTTCTCATCGTACACCCAGCTTTTTCCTCCTAATGTTCGCTGATACGGTGTCATCATGAATTACTCACTCAGCATTAGCCTTGACTCTCTTCTTTGCTATCTTTCCGGCTTTTTGAGCCCTCAATTCCCTCCTCTTCCGTCTCTCTTCCTTTTCTTCATACCCACCATACCGACTCCCAGCCCCTGCCGTATCGTCAAACGCCTCCTCTATATTGGCCGCCAAGGCTTTATACATGGGAGTATCCCTAAAAGGTTGCGTCAACCGGGCCGTTGTATCCGCGGCCCAGCCATAAGTGCTTTGTATAGCACTAATCACTCCGCTATCTTCCAGACCTCTACTAATGGCCTCACTGGCGCTCACACCCCGTTTCTTCAAATCGTCCAATGCCGATTGTATCCGGGGGTTATCTTTGATCATACCCATTATACGTGCTCTCTCGTACAGTTCCTTAGCTCTTCGCATCGCCTGAGTGTCGGCCAATTTGTCGACATCTCCTTGAAGCTGCTTGACATTGTCTTGCCATCCCTGATTAGCCTTGATTTCCTGTTTCAATGTTTCGATAAAGACTTTGAACGGGGATTGAGGCGGACCGGCCACTTCCTCAGATTGTCGTGAACGAGACTTGGACTGGTTGGACTGTGACTGATTGGGATTAGATTGGCCGCCCGACTTGGGATCGGAATGGGAGGTGTGTTCGTTGAACTGCCGAGAACTGGAATGTAAAGGTCGGTAAGGGATGATGGACGGACGAGGCGGTGCAATGATCCGATTTGTGGATGCCTGCCTTGCCTTTAGTGCTCTGAGTATGATGGGTCTTGATTTCATGTTGCAGTAGTGCAGTAGTGGTGGTAGTAGTAAGTAATTGAGAGGTATTCAGAGTAGGATGTAGAGGAAAGTCGAAAAAGTCGGTCAAAGGTTTGTTTACGTAATGCAAATTTGGTGCCGCTTTTCCAAAACCGGCTTTCTCTTACTCTAGAGACAACCCGTTTCCTCTTTACATATCTTTCCACAACAACATGTCAACCTCACCCGCCCCACAGTCAAAGTCGCAATGGGTGAGTGATCTCTCAGAGTCGGACAAAGTGCGCCCGCGGGAGATCTGCTGATACAACAGCGAGAGTACAAGAACCCCGAGGGCCGTATCTACTGGTCTCATTCGGTCACGAAACAATCAGTTTGGGAAAAACCAGATGAGCTTCGTACTTCGTTCGAAAAGGCCATGGCGAAGACTCAATGGAAACAGTATTTCTCCAGTGGTCGACCATACTACGTCAACTCTTCCACCAAAGAGACCAAGTGGGATCTACCTCCTGAACTCGTGAAATTAAAGAAACGGATCGATAACCAGGAAGCTTACGAAATTGCAAAGCAACGTGCCAAAGAGGCGGGTCAAAGGACTCCTACTCCCCCTCCGAGATCGAGATCATCGACTCCTGATCATCTCAGAGCGGGAGATCATAATGCTTTACAAGGTTATCAACCCCCCTCGCCGATCAGGGAGAGAAAGGCTCCGCCCACAGGACCGAAGAAATTCGAAAAGTTGGAAACTATCATCATGCCTCCCGGGGGATTTCAAACACTTCAAGAAGCAGAAGCGGCTTTTATGCATTTGCTCAAGAAAGAAGGAGTGGATGAGACGTGGACTTGGGATCATGCGATGAGGAGGATAATTATGGATCCCCTCTATCGAGCATTGGACACTTTGGCGCAGAAAAGGGCCGCTTTCGAAAAGGTGAGCTTTCTTAATTCGACCTCCATGTCTGGTGATGAAGAGATACAAACGAATGCTCATGTTACAGTTCATCATGAACATTCACGAAGAACGGAGGAAAGCGAAAGAAGATCGTATAGCTCGTCTTCGTCCTCTTTTCCAGTCAATGTTCGAGCAACATCCCGCAATCAAAACGTATTCCACCATGAAAACCGCCGCTGAAGTCTTTGCCCACGACAAAAATTGGCGTGAGCTGGATCCAGACGAGAGAGAGATGTTGTTGGAAGAATGGACTACAGCAAAGAAGCATCAAGAGGCCGTTAGTACCACTAAGCTCTCCCAGTTTACTTGACCTCTCCATTGTATTCAAATTGGTGCTGACATATAGCAACATGAGAAAGAACTTCGTGAAAGAAACATTCAAAAACTCGGTCAGCTAATCCGTCAACTTGACGTCACCGTATCCACCCGTTGGCGTGGAGCGTACGACATGATCCTATCTTCTCCTCAATGGAAGTCTGATCCGGAATTACAACAAATCGCCACTGTTGACATGCTCGACGTGTACGATGATTATCTCCGTATACTCGATAATGAGTTTGACGACGAAACACGTCGGTTACGTTCAGAACGTATACGAACTTCTCGTAAAGCCCGCGAAGGGTTTCGTGCATTGTTGGCCGAATTACAAGCTTCTGGAGAGCTCACCAGGTTGAGTAAATGGAAAGATACATACTCGAAAATCAAGGATGATGAGAGATACATGAAAGTTCTTGGTCTACCAGGAAGCTCGCCGATGGATATGTGGATGGATTGCGTGGATGATATGGCGGAAGAAACGGAGAGAGCTGTGGAGAAGGTGGAAAGGACAGTGGGAATGGGGAAGGTCAAGTTGGAAAGTACATTCGAAGATTTTGAGAACATGCTCAAAGGGACTACTTTGGAAAATGTACTGGATTCTAAAGTCCGAGCGGATGCTTACGAAATGGTAAGTGGTTTCATACTTCATCGCGACTCGTTTCCACCATCGCTCCCCACCACCCGCCACAGGTATCTTAGCCATCTTGGACAGATGAATCGGGTGGGAATTGTTAGGGAAAGTCTGACAATAAGATGCACGGCAAATTTGTCCAGGTCGCACAGGCGGAATCTCGTAGGGCCGAGAGGAAGCGAAGACATAGGATTGATGATCTTCGTTATGCCATCAAAAAGGTCGGCAAACATATCGACGTGGATATGACATATGAGGAGGTGAGTTGAGTTTATTTTCTGCTCCCTCTGCAAATGTTTCAATTCCTATGTTCTTCCAAAACATTTATCCTGTATGCTACGATGCAAACACTGGGCAGTACCCTCAAGCCTCTTCACAATGAATGCTCGCTGATCACTGATCACCAGGCATTGGCACATATCAAAGATTTGCCGGAGTTCAAGGATATCCCAGATGAAGAAGATAGGAAGACTGCATATGACAAGTTCATCCGTCGACAGAAGGTTAGTTCTTCCCTTCCCCCTTCCCCCTTCCCCCTTCCCCCTTCCCCCTTCCCCCTTCCCCCTTCCCCCTTCCTCCTTCTTGCGGTCACTCCCTAGATTCTTTTTCTCTTTGGTTGGCATCAGCTCACATAGGCCCTTCACTCCCTCTTCGCTGACAGGTCATATCATATATCTCACTAGTGCCCCTTGTAGGATGTCTGTCAATAAACTGACCACCAGGAAAAACTAGCAGAAGTAGAAACGAGTGATCTCAATTCGGCTCATTCTCCCGACAAGGTCAAGAAGAAAGAAGATCGTCGAGATTCCTTTTCATTACATATGGATGTGGATTCTAGTCGCCGTGAATCTCGGGAATACAGATATAAAGGTAGAGAAGAAAGAAGTTCAAAGAAAGAACAGGATGATAAAGATTATAAGAGGGATTATGGGAGAGAAGAGTACGATAGGGATTACAAAAATGGAAAGGACGAGTACAAGAAGGAGAGTGGGAGGGAAGACTACAAAAAAGAAAGTGGGAGGGAAGACTACAAAAAGGAAAGTGGGAGGGAAGACTACAAAAAGGAAAGTGGGAGGGAGGATTATAAGAAAGAGGGTGGGAGGGAAGAATATGATAGAGATCTCAAAAGAGAAAGTGGGAGGGATAAAGAGAAAAAATACGGAAGTGATGGTGGTAAGAAAGATCGAGAATATGGAAGAGAAGGGGATAAGAGGGATAGTGGGATTTCCGAAAGAAAAGAGAAATATGCTAAATACGAAAGAAGGGATAAATATGATAAGGTGAATAAATATGATGGGGAAGATAAATATGATAAAGGTCGTGAAAGTGGTGAAGAACGTGAATCAAGAAAAGAGAAAGAGAAAGAGAGAAAACATGCTACGGACTTTTATGATGATAGAGAAATCAAAGTGAGTCTTTTTCTTTTCTTTTTCTTCTCCTTTTTGCCTTCGTCTTTTTGTTGTTTGGACTTTCCACATTTACAACCTTTTCACATCTCTGCTTATTCGACCAATTCCCTTTGAAAATTTCTCCAATCCAACTTCCTTCTTCCTGTACACTTTCCACCACCTCAACCTGAAGTAGCCTTACATATCATCATGAAGTCATTTTGAATATGATAACTCACAAGACATCTAGTCATGTAAGAGGAGATTGAAAGAGGAATGATACTGACTCCAGCGCGTGAAAAGGGATGATGATGTGGAAGAAGGCGAGATCTGAGGTAGATGGATCTACGATCAATTCATATGAGCGGGAAAATACCTCATTGTAGTGACAGAGTCTACATATCTACAGTAATCGTAGTTGATATCTCAAGAAAATGTGGAAATCCTTAGAAAGATGCATCATCTGAGAACGAAGTATCAGGAACTCGCCCGACAAATATAAAGTTTGATGAGTGAGGTACATGTGAAGATTACTCTACCACATTTAACGATCTTTCCTTTTCTTCTTCTTCTTCTCCCCTTCACCATTATTTGTCGTCTTGCCGAGTTTCTATAAGTCAGTTGAGTCACATGACACACGCATGAGTGATACGAGAAGCAAGATGGTTTGATGGGCATGCTTGATAAATCATGAAAGGTAGAAAAGACGGGGAGATTGGAAAGATCGACGTTTATGTGACGGAGGGAAGATACCTTTTGGAGAAGGACAAGTTGGGACGATGTCAGGGAGAAAGAAACAAATGCCCACCTTGTTGATGATTCGTTGTAAAGCACGACGTATCTCGCTCTCCGGTGGGAAAGTATTAGGATCATAGTAATCCGCTGCGTATTCCAACAACCATTCAGGTCGGACTTCAGTGACGGTACGGATGAACTGGTGGGTTAATACGCCTGACCTAGGTTCTAGACCACCGCGGTCGATTCTCAGAGAGGGACTGGATGAAGACTAGCTCAGACAGGGATGAAGGAAATGAGGAGATGAAGTGATTCAGTGGTGGGGGAGATGAAAAAGAAGTGTGAGATACTCACATTGGCAGTGGTCAACACAAATTCGTTATATAACACCCATTCTGGTGTGGTGTCCAGACCGCAAGAGAGATGTAGTCGAACGACCTAATGTTCAGTCTCTTTTTTCTTTTAAGATGTTTGCAAATAGCTGATAGCTCTCGACTTCCCTTGTCGCGTGTGTTCGTTCTCACCACCTAGCTGATGCGAGGTTGAATGAGGAAGAACTCAAAAAAAAACGACAGTGAAAGGACAGAAGAGACTCTCCGATAATAATGAAACGGCGTGGACAGAGGAAGATAACGAGATGGGCAATCGAGGGGTCTCGGATAGCCATGTTAGACATGAGGACTAGGAGTTCCGAAAGAGGGGGAAAAAAAAAGAAACATGGGAATTGACCCACCTGATTATCCTTAACAGTAGTATAACTCCCTCTCTCACCTTCCTTATGCGCAACCTGCATGAAAAACCCACAAACCAAAGCTTGTCTTATATTATTCCAATAATTCTTATCCTCCCACGCTGTCGAACATAATTCTAAATCAAACTTCTCCATATTTCGTTTTAGTTGCGTCCTCACGTTATCAGCTTGAGCCAAAGACCGTTGATTGAGGTAATTTTGCCAACACCAATTCTTAGCGTCCGCTTCGTTGGTTTTGTATGCGTGGTAGACGTTGAGAAGGGTGAGATGATCACCGTCAGGATGAGTGAATTGAGCTTTGGCTAGATCGGCTTCTTTTCTTTGAGCTGCAGGACGCATGAAGACGTTTGGAACGGAGAGGATGGCTGTGAGAGAGAGAATTTCGTTGGAGCATCCGAATTCGGGTGAGACTATGAGCATTTTGGCGAGCTGAGATCAGCATGAGTTTTCATTTGGCTCTCGGATGGACTTTGGACTGATTGCATGCTTCGAACCGCGCGCGCGTTGGGGGGATGAGGTGCACAGTATATACAGCGAATGAGAAAATGAGATACGACTGCTGAACGGGAAACAGAGGTGCACGTATAATCTGATCGGGACAACTCACCTGTGGATCTAAAGGAAACTCGGCCATGATTTCCCCCAAAGGTGTCAAATTTCCCTCGTCGTCCAGCGCAGCGAGGTAGTGCAATAATTCCAGAGCCCTCATGATGGTTTCAGGTGCAGGTGCGTCTTCGAATCAGCTTCTATCCTCATCCTTTATACTCTTTCCAATACGACGTCAGGCTGAGGGAATCCTCTCATTCGAGTAACTACAAAGGGAGTGGGGCGAAGAAAACAGAAAATAAGAAAAACTCACCCATATAATCGAAATGCACCAAATCTTTGATACCCAATTTGATCAACTCCAAAACCGTATTGGCCAAATTACTCCTCAGGATTTCAGGATGTGTCTGCTCTTCCAGCTCCTTTACGAAATCTTTCTCCGTATACAATCTGAAGCATTTTCCAGGTCGTGTTCTTCCAGCACGTCCAGCACGTTGCATAGCTGAAGCTTTCGAGATTGGCGCAACGAGCAAAGATTCAACTCGTATACGAGGATTATACACTTTCTGTTTGCAGAAACCCGGATCTACAACGTAAACGATACCGTCTATTGTCAACGACGTTTCAGCGATATTGGTCGAAACGACGACTTTTCGACCTGGTAGTCCATCTACACGAGTGGGAGGGGCTGGATCAAATATTTTCTGCTGCTGAAAAGGTGGAAGGGAAGAGTAAAGAGGTACGACCAGAAGCGGTCCAGCCATTCCTTTGGAAGCGAGTTCGTCACCTTCCGCACGAATTTTTCGACAAGCATCTTCAATCTCTTCTTCTCCAGTGAGGAAGAGAAGGACATCGCCAGCATCTTCCGCTTGGTGTATGTAGAGGACGGTTCGGATGGCAGCTTCGACGTAGTCTTGTTCGGGTTCTTGGGTGAAGAATGTTTCGACGGGGAACGTTCGACCGGAGACTTTGACCACGGGAGCTAGACCAGAGGGAGTGCCGTCACCGAAGTATTTCTGAAATTTGGCGACGTCGAGGGTAGCGGACATGACGATGATTTTGAGATCTTTCCGATTTTTGGCGATCTGATGATCAGTCCTCTGGTTCCCATGAAGTGAGCTCAGCCTGCATGGCTGGCCAGTTACAGCCGACATGTGATGGAAGACGAGTATAACAGCGCAGACATACGCTCCCTCATTGTGGCACAATTGAGATGGAGTAAATAGGTATTTCAAAACTCACATCTTTCAGCAACCCCATCAAGATGTCCGTGGCCAACGTTCGCTCATGGGCCTCATCTAAAATGATGGTCGAGTATCTTTCCAATTTTGGGTCGTTCATGGCTTCACGTAATAGCATACCGTCTGTCATATATTTCAAAAATGTCGTCCCGGATTCTGTCATATCTTCAAATCGAATAGAGTATCCCACTTGTTTCCCAAGTTGGACTGTGTGTCAGCTACTTCACTCGGATCTATCGAGACACTTGTAGTCTCCTTCACGCCTCTCCACCCAGCTCATGAGTCACGAGCCTAAACAGTCTGAAGTCCACTGGAATCCGCCAATGGCCAAAAATCGGCCTCGAGGGGTATCAGATGTGAACCGGGCCCCCCCGCGGGGAAGAGGGGGGGGGGGAGTTTAGGAGACATATTGGTAATTCTGAAGATAGAAGGGTGAGTGATCTAGTCAGAGTAAAGGAAGGGAGACACAACAAATCACCCACCATCCATTTCATCCGCCACACGTTTCGCAACACTCATAGCTGCCACCCTTCTCGGTTGAGTACAAGCCACCATTTTCCCTCTCAACATCGGCAAGTCACTATAACATACGAATTGAGGTATCTGTGTAGTTTTTCCCGATCCCGTTTGACCTTCCATGACGGTGATTTGATTCTCTGAGAAGATAGAGAAAAACTCTTGCATCTTTTGAAAGACCGGAAGGTTCTTTCGCGCCTCTAGAATTTTTCTGTAGGTAGGGGAGAAAGGTGTGAGATTTTTGAATGGATTGACTGGACCATCCTAGGTCTCAGCGTCTTTAACGATACCATCAATCATCCGAAATTCTGCAAATGTCCTGCGGAACAAACCGAAATCGGCATGACAGGCATTGCTAAAATCCTGATCGATGCTTCCAGAAGAGAATCAAATTACGAAGTAAGCGGAACACAGGGGGAAAAGAAGGCAAACATAATCAAAGGAAAGGAGAACAGATCAAAAGAAAAGAAATCTTGAGGAGAAATTAATAAAGAAACCCAAGTCTCATGACTCACCATGATAGCTTTAGCCTGATCAACAGTGACTTTCCTAGGTACCAACCCCGTCAAAGGGTTTTTAACACCCATACCTCCTGGTCTATACCCATTCGATCCCGAAGCCATAGTGAGACCAGGACTAGGACTGGGAGCCGAACTTCTATCTCCATTCCCGAAAGTTGGAGAAGGTGATGAACTGGATAAAGGTGTTTGACGAAGATGAGGTGGGAGATGAGCGAGATAAGGATTTTCACGTATCGTCGTATTATTGGAAGCTTGTGATAGAGTTTGAGAGTCTGATGGTGGTGGAGGGATCGAAGATGTTGGAGGTGGTGGAGGTGCTGAGGAAGTTGGGGGAGTAGGTGGAGGTGCTGGTGCTGAAGATCTTGGAGGAGGGGGATGGGAAGAAAGAGCTTCTGAAGGAGATGAAATCATAAAGTCAGCAGCTGAGACTCTGACGCGCTTTGTAGGTGGTTGAGACATGTCTTTTCGTCCAACTTATATTCTGGTGATATGAATTGGCGACCCGAGGTGTTGAGAGAAATAGCTTGGGAGAAAGTATAGAAATGCGAGGAGGAGAGGAAGGAAGAGGAGACTTTTGGGTGATGATGTGGGTTTTCTGAGGGTGGCAAGGGTGATAAGGGTGGCAAATTCTGTCAACTCACCTTGTGCTCAGTTATCGATGGTGTTATTGCAAAATAAAGAAAGAGGGTCAAGGAGGGAGGCTAGGGAGGTAGAGAAATAGGAGATATACATATTGTACACTTGGAGAGAGTATAGCAACACTAAAAAAGAAATCTACAACGAGTGATACTCAACAACATCCCTTCCATTTCATACAATCTGATATCCTCTTGATCTTTCTTCTCCCAATCCCATTGACGACACTTCTTATCTATATTCTCATGAAAAGTCGCACAATCCCAAATAACCCTCTGATCCAATTACAACGTCAACAATGATTCAATCACATGACCACACATCCGCCTCTACCTGTATCATCCCAATCTTCCTCCGCCTTCCACCATTTCCTCTTTCCCCTCGTCCTTCTCCTCTCCGTTTCTCCCCCGTCTCCTGCCCCAGAACTCGTTCCACTACCTAATACCCTTCCTGCGGCCTCACGCTCGTCTCGCCATACTCGCGGTACTCCCACCCGACGCCATGACCAAAACGTCTTCAACACTGGTTTATCGACCAGTTCAGCGTCGTAAGCGAATACGCTGGCGGCATGACCTGTGAACCCTCGTCGAGAACGAGAAATAGGAGCGAGACTCGAATATGCCGAAGGGGTGATAGCTCTGCAGTCTACCAAACTTAGGGATATGCGTGGAGAGGGTGGACGTTGGCGAAGGAATTCACGCATGAACGCGTTATTGGCTGATGTACCCTGTTCATAAGTTTCCCTGCTATGCAATTTGAACCTGATCTTCCCTCCTGGTCGATCCAACCTCATGTCACTCACGTTCACGAAGGAACATCTGACTAACCGAGGAAGCATGTCGGTTGATACTTTCGATGAAGGGAGATGGATGACCACAGGCCAGTGGTGGGAGACATCAGGTCAAGGTCTGATAGCGAAAGCGTGGACACGAATGACGATAGACATAGCTGGAAGGGTGGAAGGGTGATGAGACATGAAAAATAGCAAATATCAACTCACATCCACTTCCAACACCTCCAACTTTGGACAACGACTTAACAAACCCATCAGTCCGTCCAAAGTGACAGCTTTCGCAAATCCAATCCGCAATTCTTTCAGAGTCGATGGTAATGCCTCCAATACTAAATCCGTCACAGCTCCTTGACTTCCTGTATCTGACAAATCTAACATTTCTAATTCTTGACAACTTCTTAAAAACTCTACCAAACCCATACTAGCATCACCCGGCATGAAAGGCATACCATTCTGCATATCTGCCAATTCCAATTTCTTCAACTTTGGGACTTTTCCTGATAGATGACGAAGACCTTCGCCACTAAGCATGGTTGAAGATAATGCCAAATGAGTGAAGGTGGCAGTTTGCCGGAGTTCTTCAAGTTCATCTGTCATTGCAGTAATGTGATGGTCCCATAATCCTAATACACCAGTCATGTCTAATACAGAAAGATGCATTCCGGCGATGAGGGAGAGGAAATCTTCTATTCCTGCCACTCCGTTGAGTCCTGCTACTTTGAGGATACGCAATTTATCAGCTTGGGAATCGGAAAGAGATTCGAGATAGGTTGATATTTCTGAAAGAGTGATTTGCCAACATCGGGACACGTCGAGGGATTCCAAATTGGTCAATTTGAGTAAAGAGGTGATAACTTCTGGATTCACAGCTTGTACTCCTTTCAAGTTGAGCTGTCGGATTTGTGGTGCCGCCGAAATGATAGCGCAAATATCGTCAGAGTGAAGGAGTTTACAACCTCGTAAATCGACAGTGAGGAGATTTGGTAAGAAGATACCTTGGGAAGTAAGAGAGGCAAGGTGGGAAGAAAGAAGATTGTCCATCCCTCTGAAAGAAAGAGAAGTCATGAATTGTACCGTATTCGTGAGGATGCGTTGAAGAGTGTTCGGATGAAGAAAGGCAGCATAGGGTGAGAGATCCACTTCGGTCCAAAGTTGACCATCGAAGCAGAGAGATTCCCATGATTTGCATACCTGAGATCAGTCCCAGGCCCTTCTGGCTGCGCCACTCATTGAATGCAGTCCTCAACTTTCGCTTAGTCACGAAAAGCAGTGGCCGAGGTGGACTGGACAACAAGAAGATAAGAGTAAGATGAGAAGGGAAATGTACATACCCTAGAAAGCTTGATCAATTCTCTCCTTCCCCCAACTGCCCCGTCCCACCGACGATTACCCTCTGGTCGTCCTTCGAGCAAATGACTGAGAATGACCAACTTGAGTTCTCTCGGCAAGATTGAATTGAACAAATCCTTCCTGTACCTAAAAACAGGCATACTCTTTGCCCTCGGACGACTGAGAACGGGTTCTGCCATACTATTCATATTCCAAACAGTCTGAGAACGATTTTTCACCCTTACACGCGCTTTATGAACCAACATATCCGAATCGTCAAACCTCAGAGGTGATTCGAGATACTCTCTGGGTCCACCAAAGGGTACAGAAATCATTTCTAGTTCTTGAACAACGTCTATCGTTTCGCCTTCGTCAACGGTGGGAACGGTGGGCAAAGTGTCGGATTCATCAACAAGACTTGTGTGTAAAGGTGTGAAGGCGACAGAAGATGCACGGGAAGATGTCGTAGGGACTGAACGCAGTGATAACGCAGATTGTGAGCGTGATAGAGACAGGGAGAGTAAAGATCGAAAACGACCTTTTTCTTTCTGCTTTACATACTCGTCGGGAGAGCTTGCGTTGGACATGGTGTGAAGAGATTTGAGAGACGATTTGGATCTATTGAGTTTACGTCGTACGACATCTTTCAATGATGAACGGGAACGACGATGTTCTGCAGTCGGTCGGACTGGAGTAGAAGGGACGGTAGCCACCCCTTCTGGCATAGTCATCGATACATACTGCCCGGGCGAGGTGAGCGAGTTGTCGTTCCTGGGGAGCGGGGGTAGAGGTGTGGCTTGTGACGTCTGAAGAGGTTCAGCCTCGTCTTGCCGAATGACAGTGGAGGGCTCTTCAGCAGGAGAGGTAGATACACTTTGCTGGATAGTCGAATCGAGGTTTGTTTCTAATCTTGAGGGTGATACTTGAGAGAATCCATAGCTTTCCGTACGTCGGATGATATGCTGGACCGTAACATCTTCATCTCCATCCCTCAACTCCCCTATCGAAGCATCTTGTACCATCCCGACATGCTCGCCGTCTGACGCATTATTTATCCCATCGGGAGAAGAGACAACCCTGGAAGACTGAGTGACATTCTTTACACCAGCATAACGCTCCATCACTCCCAGAATGGTAGGAGTTTGAGGCGTTTGTAATTGATCTGACTCGATAGAAGAGGAAGTGACGAGGGTATCCGATCTGAGACGACCGGATGGATCCAACGGAGGTGTGGAGACCGCCGGAGAGCCGGGGATGAGGAGAGGATGTGACATGGTGAGGTGTCTGATTGAGTTTGGTAGATGCAAGCGAGTAAGACTGTGTCACAGGAGAGAAGAAGTGATCTGCCTTGTGAAAGGGACGAAGAACAAGGAGAAACAACGTGCCGATGTACGTAGGAAGGGATACTTATCGCCCAGGGAGCTCTCGATAGCCGCCGGGGCAAGTTGAGAGTGAAGGGCAGGACAGTTCTACTGCCTCAATAATCACAGAAGAGTAGGGTGGCCTTTCGCCGAATCAAGTCCGTCTCGTCAAAAGGTCAAAGTCGGATGATTAGCCCCCAGGGATCCATGGGTGGGATAGTGAGGAGAGGTAAGAACATGCCCAAAGTAGGGTCGACTTGCTAAGAGATAAGGCAGGATAAGGTACGACGCTCGCTGGTCAAGCCGAACCACGTGGTTGTGGCACTTGATCGTATGTGGCACTTCCTACTACCTTGCATAGTCATGCATCTTTGACCCCCAATCTCATGTATGTGAATGGTCAACTCCCTGATCTCTCTTATTCTCTCAAGTGAATACAGTGTAATTCAACCTAGCTGAGGCATTCACTTCCTCATAAAACAGCTTTTGGTCAAGGTGACTGACCCACGGTATCGAGGTGAAAAGTCGCTGTTGAAAGTCCCTTTCGATGAGGGAAAGCAAAATTCAGCTAAGCTGGGATGTGCAGAGGATTTAGTTCCATGATGAGAACCATGTTTCTTCTTCTTACTTTCAGGCTGGCTGGAGGTAGGATCATGTAAACCATGTGACCTAGGCGTTGGGATTTGGGACGTCTCACTTTCCCTTGCAGCGGTTGGTTTTCGAGAACGAGTAGGACGCTCCTCCCTGGGACCATTAATATAATCAGTGGAATTTCGAGAGGCTGTGGGCTGTGCAGGTCGAGTTGGACCACTTGTAGTTGTAGAATACCCAGGATATCCTCCTTGGCTAGTTGGCATGCTGGGTCGAGTCGAAGTTCGGGGATAGGGGACCCCTGAAGCCGCTGTGGCTGTGGGGACGGACCTGCGAGTTTCATCTTCCATGATGCTTGTAGAATTCAAAGTCTGACTGGTGATGGATAGAGATAGATTGAAGAACTAAAAGTGATCAAAAGATGTATGTAAGTAAGCGAATGATTGCTGTGTGAGAAGGATTGTTGTTGAACATGAGAGGAGGGGGTGAGAGAGACTTATAGTATATCTTCAGAGTGATATGAGTATATGATCCATTGTGAAAAAACCCCATTATGATGAAAAGGTCTCAGGAGGGTGTAACGCGTGTCAAATTTCAGTCTGAATTTGATTCATTAGTAATCCTTTGAAGCCATGAGTACAGTAAAGCATTAGTGTCTCAGTCACACAAATTTCTGATACTGTTAGTAGCTACTGCGCAATGACATGTTGCACCCCAGTCAACATGCATGTAGATGTTACATCCTTGCTCTCTCACACTCTCTCAAGCGGCTACCATGTGATGAAAGGTCTTTGCTTCCTTCACTTCCTCACCCAACCGTCTTTAGTCATTATCACTGGTCCACTGTGTCGAGGCGCGATCGACCCCACAATAGTTCCATCCGGTGAAGGATAAAAAAACGGATGCAAGATGGAGTGTAATGAGGTTTTACTTCCATGATGAGATGTGTGTTTTTTCTTTCCTGTTTTGGTGGACCGTGAGGTAGACCCTTCTATATCATTGGTCTTAGTCTTCTTCGTAGTCTTCTTTGTCTTGGTGGAAGTTCTAGTGTTTCGACTTTCGGGAACATCAAACAATTCCGACTGCTCCTGTCTAGCTGTAGATCTTGAAGAGTTAGGATTATCTCTGGTTCGACGAGACTGTGTAGGTTGAAAAGTCTCGGGACGTGTGTTAGATGAATTTGGTCTTCCACTAGTCCGGGTTGGGTCGGTACGAGGGGGAGCTGTACCTGTTCCATTCATGGTTGACCTGACGTCAGGAAGAGGGATGGCGGTTCTGATGGGTAAACCTGTGTTGGTAGCAGTCTCCAGCATGGATTGTCGGGTAGATTCAGCCATATTTGATATGTGTATGGAAAAAAGTGGTGGATGTAGGTGTATGTGAGTATTTCCTAACCGGTGAAATTGAGGATAAGGAGGGTAGAACTACTCTTGATATATCAGATCCGTACTCGGCTAATTTCGCTTGCAGATGTGGTAAGCGGGGATCGTCTCCTTTCTAGGTGATGTTCGGTTAAGTAAAGATACATACTGATACAAGGAGGTCTTCAAAGGGAAAACATCTTCCAATCGAGGGGTATTAGACTTCCACTTCCATTCACAGGATTCAGGTCCTTGACAGGAGGCAGGGCATCGAAGACTGGCCACGACTCGATTGTATGTCAGGAATGTTGGGCAGGCATATGAAAAGATGTTACAAACTACTCATATCCCAACCTCTGATGTAAGTGCATGTCAGAGTATGTACAATCTATCTTTATTCCCTTCTTCCTGATTTGAATGACTCATGCCTCCATTCTAACGCTTGTTTTATCTGTCTATGTGTCTGTGTCTTCAGACTGATTATGTTTTCTGCGGTGCTTTGCAATTTTTCTCACCAGTCCTTGTGGAGTGCGATGTTCGGTCCCATTGTAATTTGAAGGTAATCCAAACCACAAAGAACGGCCGGAAGCTTCTCCTTGCCATTTAGCTTTGAAATCTGTGCTAGGTCTGTCTTCATAATCTTCCACCTCAACATGTTTGAAATCAGATCGGTGACGATGCTTAGCTTTATGAGCTTTAGTAGACTCCTCAGGAGGGGGAGCCGTGGTAGGCTGTGTAGGAACATTGGACGTTTCTTCACGAGGTGGTGCTCTTGTGCGTGGACCTCGAGGGGGAAGACCACCAGATGAATTAGGTTGTGATGGTCTCTGACGTGCAGAGGGCCCAGGTGCAGTACCTGAGGTGAATGGGTTAAAGGTACCGTCATCCATCTCTTGGGGAGGGGGAGGATAGTCTTGGGTTGACTGAGGCATCCCCATGCGGGCTGAGGATCGGGACATGCCCGGAGGAAAACCTGTCCCTTCCGTAGTGCCTGGGGGAGGTCGAGGCGGTCGTCGACTGGAACGAGGTGCACCACTAGTAGCACTTGTCATGGGTCCAGTCGGACGCTGGGAGCGAGGAGGGAACGTAGACTCTGTATTCTCCGGCATGGAAGGGACAGTATCTTCAGCCATATTGTTGGGTATTCTTTACAAGAGTTCACTGAAGTGAGGACTGATGTGAAGGATGAAATGGAGGTGTGATATGAGTATGAGTAACTAGTAACGAGTAACAAGGATGAGAGGAGATAAATCTGTGCTGATGTGGTGAGAAGTACGATGAAGCGTAAGACAGCAAGTAGGGAAAGAGATTGAGAGAAGCAGCTCATTCATGTCTTTGTCAAGTAGAAAATGAGGTGATTACATTGAGAGTAGCATCCATTGTACTGGGACATGTGACCATAGGACAAAAGCTATCTCCTTTGGTCTGATATTGGATTGATATCCGCGACACAACTTCCCCCGGTGATTCATTATCACGCCATGAGTTGGTGTCACGCAATCGTATTGGAATCTATCACGTCATGATCAATGATCGCAACGTCTCTGGTTCATGATCAGCACTTACATAGCACCTGTTTGCTCCAGCCCACAATAACACATGAATGTCTTTGCTCAATGAACCTCCACTCAAATCATGCATTCTATCACTCTTCAATATGGTTCATCACTTTTACTACTCTCCTGCCCTCATCTTGGCATCATTGTTCTAGAGGTTATGAGTTACCATTTCATCTGGCTACTACCAGTACTGAAAAACCCTTGCAGTATACCCACTGTTCTCTTAGACTCTGTACTCGCTTTCGACCCAGACTTTCCTTTACCAGAATGATGATGATGATGTTTCTTCTTTGTCTTTGTTCCTGCTTCCGTACCTGCTGGTCTTGAGGATGTGGACTCGGTATCAATAGTCACTTTCTTTTTCTTCGGCTTAGTAGCCTCTGAGCTAGGGACCGAAGTCAGAGGAGGACCACGGGTAGATGGATTTGAAACATTTGTCCCAGTACTTGTAGGCATTCCACGTCCCATCGGAATCTCATCTGGGATACCCGAGAAATTCTGAAAGGATTGAGCATTGTTTCTCAGGATTGAGGGGTGTCCTGAAGGTCCCATCGACCCCCTTGCCGTTCTTGGTGGTCCTGTAGGTCCTGACCTCCCCATTCCGGATGGTCCCATTCCGGAAGGTCCATTAGCAGAAGATGATGGAGGTGGACGTGCCATTCCTCTTCCCATTCCCATTCCCATTCCCCCTCCCATTTCCATTCCCCCTCCCATTCCCATTCCCGTTCCCATTTCCATAGGAAAAGTGGAGGAGCCGGATAATCCTGGTGGACCTCCCATGGAAGGTTGAGACATACTGGGAATAGTTCCAGAACGCATGGGCATACGGGGCATACCGGGCATACTGGGAATGAATTCTTGACCTTCATCCATACTAGGTAAAGCACTTTCCATGCCATACATGGAGAAGGAAGAGGGAATGGGACGAGGTATAGGCTTCAGCTTTGGTTGGAGTTCAGAAACACCAGGAACAATGGTGTTAGTGTAATAGTTGAGCCTCTGTTGCCATCCAACCACTCTTCCCGACTGATAGGTGTCCTCTCCACTTTCCCTTAATTTCGCTGCTCCATCTGTCAGCGCTTCAAAAGCAGCCTTCACACGATCTGAGTTCGTCCTGTGGAGATTAGCTCTTTAATGCAAAACATTTTTCTGTGAAAGACTCACGTGCCCCTTGAAGTCATATAATCATATAGAACCTGTTTAGTGATCCCATTGTAATTGAGCTTCGTGCTGAGGTCCTCAGCGGTAGATTCCACATTCTTCTTACTGTACCCATTCCCTGTAGGAGCCACAGCTTGACTAGAGAGTGACATCGTTCTATTGAGTGGCAAACGCGACGGTTGTCCTCCACTTTGTGAACTTCTGAGTGGAGCTGTTTGAGGTGAATTGAGAGTTGGATTGCTTGGAGGAGGACCATTGGGTCCGGATGGATCCATCTCAACATTACTCCCTTCAGAGACGGACTCACTACCTTCTCCTTCCGATTCTTCCTCCCCCGAGCTACCGGTTTCTTCTTGGTCCCACTCTTCTTCTCCTTGGGTACTCATCCCCGCCATCGGCGGTACCATGGATGGAGATGTAGTTTGGCGCTGCATTGTGGATTCGGTGCTTCCTGTTTGATGATGGCTCTAATTGAGGGTGTATTCGGTCGGTTGGCGCATCAGACCTATAAGTATCCGTCCTTCCTTCTGACCCTCTGACGTGCGAGTCGGAGATGAATGGTCATGGCGTCTTAGCGATCTCAGCAGGAAGGCGTACATATGTCGTGTCTCGGCCCTCCTGTGACTGTCCCTTCCATTCATCCCTCGTGCGGTCAATGAAATCGCACGGGAACAAAGGGGAATGTGGCACCGCCATTTACCACAGTGCCACATCCCCTCTCCCCGGGGCTCCGCAATGTCCTCCAACGTTCGCCTCAACCCTTGTGAACCATCTCGCAATCACTTTTTGACCTAACATAATGTCAGTAGATCTCCCTATACTATGTTTCAATGACGTGTATAGGGTCAATCAGAGATACGTATCTCAACCTGGGGCACCTTCTGTTTCCTCAAAAACCGACGGACACATCAGTGTATCACAGTTCGGGCATCTCTTGTTAGACCAACGTGCCGAATGGGCGGACAGATCGAACTCAAGTTCCAGCACCGAGACAAGGGAGAAAGATGGTTTGGTAGTGTTCGCCGGTGATGTGTTTAATCCTAGTACCGAATCGAGCGTCACTCGAGGCTCTCATATGGTAAGTCAAATCCCACAAGCAGGGATTGAAGGCTGATGAAAAGGTACCCATCATGAATGCTCTTGGGATCGATTGTGCTTGTGTCGGTCAGTATCGCCCCCATCTCTAGTCCCAAGCTAACGTATAGGAAACCATGACTTTGATTTTGGTCAGTCCGAACTTTCCATCTGCAACACGCATGGAATGACATGAGTTCGTTCACGTAGCTATGCTGATCAAAAGGTTATCCTCATCTCACGAAGCTCATTTCATCCACCAGTTTCCCCTGGTTGCTTTCTAACATCGTGGACGATAAGACCGGAAATACACCAGCACCTTTGCAAAAGTATTGGGTAACAGAGCGATGTGGTGTCAAGATTGGCATCATCGGTCTTGTCGAACAGTCAGTTAAGCCGACAAAACTGCCAGCTTTTGCTGATGATCATTCAGGGACTGGATAGCTACAATACCTTCATGGCCGGACAGCTTCAAGTACAAACCGATGAAAGATGTCGCTTTGGAGCTTTCTACTGAGCTGAGAGATCCAAAAGGACAACACAAGGTGGAAGTCATCATCGCCCTCACTCACTGTCGAGTGCCTAATGTAAGCTGTCACTTGTTACATCAAGTCCCAATTGACATGGCATAGGACATAGCTCTTGCAAATGAGCTAGGAGCTGTCCATGGGCCAGATAGCTCTAGGCATGGAGTGGACCTTCTCATTGGAGGACATGATCATGTGAGTTTTTATAAGAAATGTTTATTTTGCTTATGCCTCATAGATCTACTACGTTTGTCCGCCTTCCTTCACTCATTGAAGCTGACTCTGCAGATTGGGAAAGGGGCGAAAAGTTGGGAAGGATATTCAGGTGACCACGAAGCTCCAGGAACTGAGAAGGATAAAGGTGTCATGTGAGTGTATCTTCCTTCCAATCATACATTTCCGTCTGTCTCTCCATACACAGTAAGCAGCCGTCGCTAATATGTAAGGCTCATTAAGTCCGGTACTGACTTCCGTGATCTCTCCTCGGCCACCCTCTCCCTCTCACCGCCTACCAATTCCATCAGACGACGGACAATCATGTCCCTTACCGGTGTACATCACTATGTCCTTCCCGTCTCCCCATCTTCACCATCGATCGATGCCTTGCTCAAAAATCTTCTATCATCAGTATCCTCCACACTTTCCAAATCGGTGTGCTTCACTCTCACACCCTTCGATGCGAGATCCGAAATGGTACGTACTCGTGAGACAGGACTAGGGAACTGGGCTGCGGATGTCTTGTTGCATGCATATGCTGAAAGTATGATAGAGGGCGGTAAGAAGAAGGATATTGTGGAGAAGGAAGGTCATGATGAATTAGTAGGAGTGGAAGAGGGAGCGGACGCCGTAATAATTTGTGGTGGAACACTCAGGGGAGATTCTCAGTATGGACCCGGCAAAATTACTATGGGTGATATCTTGGGTGAGTGATGCATCTTCCTTCCAACTATTATGATACTGACCAAGAGAGATCTTTCCATTTGAGGATCCGGTAGTTTGCATCGAGGTATGTCTTTTCGTATCCGTATGGAAGTCTGTAACTTACGGATAGATCGACGGCAAAGGGATATGGGACACTCTTGAGAGTGCTTTGAGTAAATGGCCAGCGCAAGAAGGGTGAGCGATGACTTATTTTTCGTCTTCAGTCCTCTTGATCACTTATCTCTTGCCACAACACCGGCTTGAAATCGTTTCCCCGATACAATTATATCCTTCTTGTATCCGTTGTCTTAACACATATCAGAGATTGTACCCAGTGACACATTGTCCATGGAACAAGTCCTAAGCGGCGTATCGAAAGATAGGATAGACGACATTCATTAAAGTAAGTGCAACTGACACTCAGTCGATTCCCCATCATCTCTGGTCTAGTCGTAAAGTGGGATCATACCTTACCTCCATATCAGAGAGTCAAAAGCATACATCTTTCTGCTGCAGCTCAGAAAGAAGACTTGGATGATCCGGACGACCTGGTGGATTTTGTGGATCAAGAGGACGGAACGAGGATTGAAGTGAAACAACGACCTCCGGAAGTAGGCGAGGAAGTGAAGAATGAGGAAGGTGGGAGAATGTATAAAGTTGTGAGTGTGTCCGATCGTACAAGCCAATGTATTCTAACCTGCTCCAACTTTACTCTCATATGCTATGTCTGTGAAATTACTCGCCAAAGGTGTGACGATGAAGCAGGCAGTGGCCGTACGGGTGTCATGTTTCTTCTTATGTTGTTGAGTCACAGTTGGATAAATGAATCTGGTTGAAAGAGGTAATGAGCGAGATAAGGGTGACTGTGAGGGTTGGGAAAGGATTATGAAATAGAAAAGTAAGTTGCTGATACCAGATCACTCGAGAGTACATGGCTCAAGGGTAAGTCTGCATTCTCTTCTCTCCCCATAGTCATCTCACTATCGATGTCCCATGATTCTTGACCTTGATTCTTCTTTCCTTCCCCACTGTTCATTGATTGACTTGATGATTGACCACCAGCTACGATGGGTTTACCGCCTTGAAAAATCGTCGTACCCTTATCGATGATGAATCCGGTTTGATCATATCATCTATCATACGTTCTTTTCTTCTTGGTTCTTCTTATATATTCAGACACAAACAACTAGTCGCTTCCCATACAGCACATTTATCAACTCGTACAAAACCTATAATTTCAAAAGCTCGTCAATCTTTACTTTCACCTTCTTCTTCACCAGATTGTTCACCTCGTAATTCACATTTATCCTCTTCCCCAAACTTTCCTCAAAACAATTCTTGGGTATCTCCCTCTTCTCTACAACCTTTCGGCATATTATCATCCACCAACTCTCAATCACAAACGCCAGGTTCTCCAGGAAGATTAAGCCTCGTAGCACCTCGTAGTCCACCAAGAGAACGTGGGAACCCTCTGGAAAGTCCAGGTATCTTTCGAAAGAATTTCATCGAACCACCTAGTCCGATGGACGTAAGGTTAGAAAGTATGGGTTTTGGTTTTGGTTTTGGTAGTGGAGGAGAAGGAAAGAAACATGTGATAAGTCATAGTTGGTCTGCTATAAGGGATGCAATGTTCATTTCGAGACATGAACATTTGAGTGATGTAGATTGTTTAGTGAGTTTATTTCTTTTTTCTCTTCACTTGAAATCTTATGATATGACCACTGGAACGCATCTATAACCTTTCAACAATCAGTGAAAGACCGACATTGTACATCTTTTTTGTTTCATCCGTCTCAATCGAGTCTTATGTGGGGTCATCAAGATTATAGGGTCATTATGTGATTATAAAACTCTGGGTTAACACGAATGTAGGGAACATCGATGTGAATAAGACTGATACGATAGGAAGGTGATAAAATGAGAGCTCAACATACTTCTTCTTCTCAGCAGAATGAATCCAAGACGATGGATATACCGGGGGCCACCAATGAAGCATTGGGGGTGATGGAAGATGAATTAGCTATAGTTTGTCCTTTGATAGATGGTAGGTTGAAAGATGTTGCGGTGGAAGAGTTGTAATTAGTTCAAAATTATCATGACATTCAAAGGCATTGTGCATATTTGTGAATATAATGGCTGTCTACCTTGAATCACCTTGCGAGTAATACTTGCTCTCCCCGTCTTTTTCAGATATTTTATCACTCGTTTCGAGTAAGTGCGTCGCCGAAAGGGTGAGTACTGGTGTGTAATTTTGAGTAATCCATAGGTCCGTGATAGCAAAAGTGGACGAGTATGAAGATACTGAGACCAAGAGCATAAAAATCGAGTTGTAAGAGCATTTCGTGTAAAGGAGACCGTCAATGTTCGATACGATGAGCGATGGTACACTAAGTGAGAGAAAGTAGAGATGAGTGTAACATAATTTTACAATTCACTGAAAAGACATTGAATTAAGTCAAATCTCTTTCCAACCACTATCGAACCCTCTTCCACCTAGACCAGCACTGACCAGACCTAATCCGAATACAGTAAGATGGGCAGTAGCGGCCATTCCGAACTGCATGTCAATAAAATTCCTCCGACTGTTTCTGGGTTCCCAAAACATCTCAATCACTTCCTCCTATCGACCCCTCCAGTCCAAGCGGCGTAATCTTCTCGAGCCTCATCTAACAGATGCTCACTCTACCATCCCAGTTTTAACACGGGGGAAGTCATGATGGTAAGATGCACGGTGTGACGTTTCACAAAAATGGTGTGCAGAGAAATGAAACTCACTCCTCTGTACAACTGCCTGATTCCAGAAAATACTCCACCTTCATCCCTCTCTGTCATATGTCGTTTCCTTCTCGCACCTGTTTCTTCCGTCATTATCCTCCATAGAGCCTCTACCACTCCTACATATTCTCTCTCCCTCAACAATACCACAGATTTCCTCTTCCCAGTCTCTTTTCGTCTAACGCCACGATATTGTATTTGTAATCTTTTCCTCGTCGTCTCAATAGGTAACAAAATGAACAATCCCGCTAAACCTAAACCTAAATCACAAGCCGCATATGTCAACGGAGAGAATTCAGATGATATACCCCACTGTCTTTCCAATACCAAAGGGATTGATAAAGTAAGTAATGGTCGTAGAGTATGTTCTAGAGCAGTTGGGATGAACAAATTAGGATGGAAATAAAGAGAACAAAATCCTCCTTCTTGTTCTACCATATCCCGTAACATGCCTGCACTGGAAGGTGTATCCGATCGACTGAGAGGAGAAACGATAAGACGTGTTCGGATAACTTCCAGAGGAGATAGGAGCCAATGAGTCAAAAAATGAGTACCGACTTGGATAGCTAATGGAAGTCCTGGTGATGGGATAGCAGAAAGAGGGATATCGACATGTGCGGAAGAGGGAAATAAAGATACGAGTGAAAGATGGATAGTGGGTTGGAGTAGGGTAGAAAGGACGGAATGGAGGGTTGTTATTAATTGAGATTTCCATAGGGCGGGTAAACCTTCGGAAGGTGTGTATCGAATACGACGGATCATTCCGAGGACTCCATTGGATCGTGAGATGTCAGGGGTGTCTCTCAATAGCCAAGAAGAGGGCACTGGGGGTAAGCAACGTGTCTCAACATCCGATTTTGACAGGAAGGAGAGATTTATAAGCCGAGAGGAAGCGAAGGGAAATGAAGTTGGTACATTGGTACGAGAAAGAGCGTCTTAGACTTACAATCAGGCAAGTAACCGAATGGATCTGTAGGAAGGGCGGGAACGTCCAATGGAAGTTCAAGAGGTATAGATGGTGCAGAAAGTCGGTCTGTGAAGTACATTTCGACTTCTTCGGGGTTACTTAACTAATGGTCAGTCCAAATAACCTCATCCACCATCCCACATAATGATGATGGCAATCGGTCGAGTTAGAAGTCCGGACTCACCTCGTCATCCTCAGCTCCGAAATCCCTTTGTTTCATCTCCTCCACCTCAGGAGCGTATCTTTTACGCGGTCGATATTCGACCTGTAGTAACGTTTTTCCCACCTCGAAAGGCATACCAAGAGCTGTAGTGAAATATTCGGTGGCAAACAACTGTAGTGGTCCGTATACCCCCGGTGGGGACAAAGAGGGAATGTCTGCATCAGGCAGAGAAGTCGGTAAATGAGAAGGAAGAGGGGTCGAAGATGGAGGAGGTGGGTTTACGGTGGGAGGGAGAAAGACCCATTCGTCTACCGGAGGTGCTGTTATTAGTAATGAGTCATGGAAGAGAAGTAAAGATTAGTTAAGGGGAAGAAGGACGTACTGTAAAGACCCCTGACAGAGGATGGTCGGGAGGAAGACGCCATTGTGGAACACACGGACCTGCCTCAGTGGCTGATTAGTGGAGAGGATAGAATGAGCGACTAGTGTCGGGGTATCAAGTCCTCCAGACCACCGTTTATTGAGTGATCAAGTGGTATATAAGATAGGATGGGTTGTATATGACGAGATGGAATGGGAAGAGTCAGTGAGGGGTGAGTGTCGAGTGTTGCCACCGGCATCGGCACAAGACGGGAGCGGAATCAAATTCATTCCCCTACCAAATGTCTGCTCTCCTCTCTCTTGCTTCTATCTCGCCCTCCCTATAGGTACCACTCACACTTGACACACTATACTGCTCTACGGTAGGCATAGGCGGTACCAGAGATCTAGGCTTGGTAAAGAAAGAGCGAAATAAGCTGCTGCCACTGGAGCTGAACCCGTACCAACCCACCTCCCTTCTCTCACCAGCTCGGATCTGTTGTCCGGCATGCCCCGGCGCGACCTCGTTCGTATAGTCCTCGTCGGTGACGGTGAGCTTCTTATCAGTTTCTGATAATATCAAACTTATCAGTACAGATGGAGTTGGCAAGTCGTCCATCATCACTTCACTCATCAAAGAGTCCTTTGTCTCTAACGTGAGTGTCAGCTCGGTCACCCAAGGATAGAACGCTTATTATCACAGGTACCTCATGTCGTCCCGGAAGTGACAATACCTCCAGAGGTCACTCCGGAGAATGTTACAACATCTATCGTAGATACTTCAGGTGAGCTTGTAGGCCGCGATACTCATATATGCTAACATGTAGCTAATCCACGCTCACGTCCACATCTTCTTTCTCAACTCACTAGAGCTCATGTCATTTGTCTCGTCTATAGCATATCCGAGCCCAGCTCTTTCGACCGCGTGGCAGAATTCTGGTTACCTTTATTCAGACGAGAAGGAATCAACGTCCCTGTGATCTTGGTCGGGAATAAGATTGACCTTCGAGGTGGGACAGTCACCAATCAAGGGTTAGAAGATGAGATCGCACCAATCATGAGGGAGTTCAAGGTCAGACAACCTTTGAGTCGCATTCCGTGTAGCTGATTTACAGGAAGTGGAAACAGCCGTTGAATGTTCAGCTTTATTACCTCTCAACGTATCAGAGGTCTTTTACTTTGCTCAAAAGGCTGTACTGCATCCCACAGCTCCGTTATACGACTCACGGGAACATGTGAGTTACCTCTCTTTATCGCTCAGTATATCTCAGCTGATTTCAAGACTCTCAAGCCCAAATGTTTGGATGCTCTGAAACGTATCTTCAAGATATCCGACATTGATAAAGACGGTCTTCTTAATGCTGTCGAGCTGAACCAATTCCAGGTGAGTATCGACTTCATACCACTTGATCGGTCAAGAAGCTGATCAACAGCAAAAATGTTTTTCTGCTCCGCTTCAATCCCAGGAGCTTGAGGGAATCCTTGACCTCGTCCGATCTTATGACACTTCCCTCGTTCGTCCCATTCCCGCTTTTTCCGCCCCATCAACACCCCTACCTCGAGACGCAAGCTATGGTCAGCTCGGTGCGACACATTCTCCAAATTTATCTTTGTCCCCAAGTGGGGAAGGAATCACTGAGCTTGGGTTTTTATACCTACACACCATCTTTATTCAACAAGGAAGGATGGAAACGACTTGGACGGTTTTGCGGAAATTCGGCTATGGCGAGGGATTGGATTTGAGAGAAGATTTCTTGACACCTCGGTAAGTTACCGTCATGGGCCTCAAAATCTGCCCAAGAGCTGATCAATCAGTTTTGACGTACCATATGACTGTTCGGTCGAGTTATCGCCATTGGGTAATCAATTCCTCACGGACATATTCGAATCATACGACAAGGTCAGCCACATATGAATTTGTTTCTTCCCTCCAGCTAATGTCCAGGATCAAGATGGAGCTTTAAGTCAGTCAGAACTGGATGACCTGTTCTCGACTTCGCCTGGAAATCCATGGCTGGCACAAGGGTTTCCGGACACGACCATCACGGATGATCTGGGCAGGGTGACATTACAGGGATGGCTAGCTCAATGGAGGTAAATATTCGTTTTTTTACACCTCTTCCACCATAGCTGATTACCTAGTATGACAACATTACTGGACCATCGAACAACACTCAATTATCTAGCTTAGTAAGTAAATGTTCATCCTCGTCCACCCACAAATTCCAGTCCAAGAAAGAGAGGTGACTGATGTTCAGCCTCGGCTATTCCTCTTCCCCAGCCACCGATCTACCCTCTTCTTCAGCCCTTCAAGTGACCCGACCGCGTAAACAAGATCGTCGACAACGCAAAGTCACTCGGAACGTGTTCCTGTGTTATGTTCTTGGCGCTACAGGCAGTGGGAAAACGAGTCTTTTGAGGTCATTCGTGAACAAAGGGTTTGGAGGTGGGGAGGATGGAGTGGGAGGTTATGAGCCTACGACGCGGGTTTTGAGTGTTGTGAACAGTGTGGAAATGGAAGGTGTGGAAAAGTATTTGGTGGTAAGTTGGTATTCTCCAAGCTGGCCAACATCAGAAAATTGCCTCTATCTGCCATTAACATCTCTGTTCATTGTGGAACAGTGTAACCCGCTGAAGGCGAGTAGGCGATCCGCTGGAGGCTGTCGTCATCAGTGCAAGTGGTATAACAGAGATGATACTCCGTGTTGTTCCGACGCTAACATGCCAGTTGCAGGAATTCGGCAGTAAATACGAATCTGAAACTCTTCGAAACTCCAAAAAGCTCGACATGGCAGATATAATAATATACGTTCATGATTCCTCCGACACGAATTCTTTTTCCTACATCTCCAACTTACGACAACAATACTCTTTAGATCATATTCCTGCTTTGTTCGTAGCTACAAAATCCGATCTTGACCTGGCGCAGCAGAGACATGAAGTACAACCTGATGTGTACTGTCGGAGACTAGGTTTACCGGCTCCAATGGCTGTTAGTGCGAGATTGGGTCCGATGATTAATTTATGGGTGGCTATCACACGAGTAGCGTTGAATCCGTGCGTGTCCTTATTTACTTTCTCCATCTTCGTCGGACCACCGGTTCCTATGTCTTCATATCCCCGACCGACCTTCACCCTCACGCATGTCAAATGTTATTTCAAAGCATGTGGCGAGTGAGACACTGATCTACCAGAAACTCTTCAATAGCTCGCGGTCCCTCTTCCTCTATATCCCCCGCTCAACGAGTTCGTCTCATAGCAGCCGCGACTATCTCCGCCACGACCCTCACTGCTATCGTGGGTGTCTGGATGCGGTATCAAGGTTATACATGGAGAGGTCTTTGGGGATGGTTTGGTAGAGTGGGACTATTTGGTTCGAAAAGTCCCTAACTCCTTCATCTCGCCCTCCTGGAGACTCGATGTCGGATCGATTGGAGCGTCATCAGAGTGAATTCGAATAGAGAGAGATTTTGCATGTAGAGGTAATGTTGTACGACATCTTGCATAATCTTCAAATGCATTGCATCAATTGGGTATACTGACCTCTGTCATTGACTCTTTCTTCAACCTGACTTTTTAGCTGACTTTCTCTGTTCTCACAATTTGTTCGTCTTTTCACTGAATAACCTCACTGCTAATGTCACAGGACATATAAAAGATGAGTGTTTTGTCTGTCATTGGTATAGATTAACCCAATCCAACCATCTCATCCTCTTACAGCTCACAGCACATTCCATGAAATCTCTCGAGAATTCGCATTGTTAAAATGATACATATCATTCTTATTAGTAATATCAATCTAAGGGAAATAAACATCTTTGAACGGTTCAGTAATTCTTTTTACAGTCCCTTCATCAACCTTCCACCCATATGTATGTTCCATCAACTTCCTGACCACTTTTGTCACCGATTCATCCGTATCATCCAAGGCATTCTCCAAAGCATTAACATTCCCACCTTGAAACCGACCTGAAATCGGATAGCCCATGGAGTCCATTTCCATTTTGAAATTATATATAGCATCCGCCAAAGTAGCTAATGAAACAAGTTCAGCTGCCTTTGTAGGATCCCTATATTTCGATATCCATTCTTCATTCAACTTGTCTTTTCCACTTCCAGATTGAGGGATGGTATGAGTTCCATGACCAAGTTGGGAATCAAGATCATATGCGTAATCTTTCCAAGTGATAATAGATGAATTTCTTTCAGCCCATTTACCTAGACGATCAGTCATTTCTCGGTGTGATAATGTTATGGTTGGCCTGTCATCTGGCCAATGTCCGGGTTCTTGTTTTGGTTCAGGTACTTCTTCCATCATTACTCCACCTCGCTTTGCGGTAGGTGAAGAAGGATCTATCGATTTGGTGGAAGGTGAATTTGATCCAAAGTCAATCTCTAGTTCACTCATCGAATCACCTTGTTGAATCTCGTTGTCCATAAACCCCAGAGAACCATTTTTGTCCTGATCCTCCGATAAGACTGGAGGTAAATGCAACATGGGTGTGTCTGGACTGAAGGAAGATGACATGGATGGGAGACTGAACGGACTGGATGGACTTGATGAAAGGTCCAAGTCCAAGTTGGGTTTGAGAGAACTACTGCAATCTGAGAAAACATCTTCACAATCTGACTCTTCTGAGTCAACTTCCTCCCCATGCAAATGAGAAACTGAACGGACACCGTTCTCATTGTCGTCTTTAAAGGGTGTTTCAGGAGTGAGGGCCTCTAGAGACGTTTTCAGATCCTTGGGATCGAGATCATCTTCAGGCTTTGATGGAGAGAAGGTCGCTGCATCTCCAAGCTCCTCCCAAATGCGCCGGATTTCTTCCGGGGAAAAGGATGTGCCATCATATTGCCAACCATCACTTTCTGAGTCAATTGGATCTCTTAATGGTCGATTCTTGTCGACACCCTCCAAGCCTAGGCCATCTTCAAGGTCGGGACGGTGCACCCCATTATTATCAAGGGGCCGAGCAAGTGGTTGAGCATTGCGAGCATCTCCACTATTGCCTTCATCACTCAATTCAGAGCGTGTGACATCTCCTCTCAATAAATCCAATAATGTCTGCAGGTTATCAGCTCTTGTCCCATGGCTATCAGCACCCTTCTCCTCGTCCTCCTCCTCGTCCTCCTCCTCGTCCCCCTCCTCGTCCCCCTCCTCCTCACCCCCATCCATTCTATTCGGTGGACTCATCAACATAGAAGAAACGACCGCGGTGGGTTCTTCAAGGTCGGGACGGTGCATCCCATTATCATCAAGGGGCCCATTAGGTGATTGAGAGGTGGAAAGAACATTGGGGACATGTCCACTATTGCCTTCTTCATCACTCGATTCAGAGCTTGCACAATCTCCTCTCAATAAATCCAATAACTTCTGCAGGTTATCATCTCCTGTCCCATGCCTATCAGCACCCTTCTCCTCGTCCCCCTCCTCGTCCCCCTCCTCGTCCCCCTCCTCGTCCCCCTCCTCCTCGTCCCTCTCCTCCGCGTCCCATGTTATTTCGTTCGGTGGACTCCTCGACCTAGGCGAGGAAACGGCCGTGTTGAGTCCTTCTTTCGGGTCTCCCTTACCTTTGGGAGGATAGAATGGCTCTTTTGAATATGAGGGTCGATCCAAGTCTTGGGATGATGACAAGGAGGGGGAAGGTGATTTCTTCTGAACACGGTTTCCTGAGGACGACTCTTCCATGACTCTCAGTAACCAAGTCTTGTCCTCTTCATCAGATCCCTGATGTCCGCCTTCCTTCAGGACTCCGTCGCCGTCTTTCTTATTTCTCACTATCTCTGGCGGCTCGTACATTCTCATCGGGTCAGGCGCCCCTGCAGACTCGACGGAAGCAATCCAATCCCTCACTTCATTCTGTCTACGTCTCCTCTCATCCAACAACTCTTGATATCTCCGGGCCAAGTCTTGAAGATCAGGAGTGATAGGTGATGTACTTGATTCCACCATAGTGTACTGATTACTGACGGTGGTCTCTTTCGGTAAGATGAGGGAAAGATGAAGATATCAAACTCCTTCTTGTCCTTCTAGTTTAGAGTGGCAAAGTCCGAATTTTTCTCCCTTCTACCATCACTCCATTCATCGACACAGCTTTCTCACCCTATAGACTGAATCTCCCCTCTAGATGAAACAATTTCATTGGTTCAGGGGAATTCATATCGATGACGGTCTCGAAATTATAAGGAAACCTGAAAAAGATTCATACAAGTATGACAAGTAGAGGAAAATTGTATATCATCCCTTCCATATGTCCACGGCCTGTCATCCAACTATCACTGAAAGCTATTGATATCTGATCTCCTGCTATCTCCCCCTCCCAGTATCTTCACTCGTATTTCTTCTTGTCGAGCAATCACTGCCAAATCGTAAGAGAGAGTCCAGTAACAAAGCTTTGTAGGTATTATTGATTGCGCCCACCTCTGTATAGGCCTCCCGTAATCTCTCAGCCAACAAATCATATTCCCCCTTCAATCCTAAAGTCAGGCAATCATCTATCAGCCGCGTCTTTTGCCTTTCATCCTCATTTTCCCGGCCCATGTATCTGTTGAAATGGGATTCAATGTCGCGTATCTTTTGAGCCTCATCCAGGACTGTACAAATGGCATTATCAAGAAGAGTTTGTGATAGATATGCTTCATTAGCTTTGCTGACGCTCATATATGGATTGCTTGCTTCTAATCTGGTTCTCAACCAGCTGAAGAATTCTTTTGCATTACAAGGGGGAGTGTCGAAGTCTTCCTCAAAGAGGGGTATTTCAAGATCGGAGTTGGAATCGAAGCCGTCCCAGTCATAGTTGAAGCCTTCACAGTCGGAGTCGAAGCCTTCACAGTCGGAGTTGGAGCCGTCCCAGTCGGAGTCGGAGCCATCTGAATTAGCGCTTCCATGGTGAAGGGGAGCTTCACTGACTGGAGGAGGCAGTAGCTGATACTCTGGGGGAGGTGAGCCCTCGGTTGGAGTGCCTTTGGCATCAAAATCACAGTGATTCAAAGTGAGGTCGTCGACGTCGGGTGATGATACTGGTGGAGCCGCATCATCCACCGATCCCTCCTGGACAACACCTCTCGAAGTCAAGGTGCTCTGACCATCTGTGGGGCTCGGTTGCTTAGGTGAATGACTGTCAGAACCGTAATTGATGGGAGATTCGGCTGAACCTGTCATCAAGTGTCGTAGTCGCAATTTATGCTTTGTTGCTTCGTCTTCTGAGCCTAAGTCCGACGGTTCGGCTGTGATACACGTCCTGAGACGTGATGGTTTAGTCCGCCTCGGGCCGCCGATAGGGTATGTACCGGTCACACCAGGTACGGGAAGTCCGTGGCCTATTGTGGTTCTCCCATCTTTCTCCTCTGAGGGAGGTGCAGGTGGACAATCAAAGTACGTGTCATTCTCGGCTGTGGAAACGTTTGAGGATCGGTTACCTATCACCAAGTGGTGATTCAATGGAGCGGGATCGTAGTAGTAGTAGTGCTGTGTGGGAGGGGATATTGTGGATGGTGAGGTTTCTGAAGGGAAGACGGTCTTCTCCTCTCTGGGCATCTCTGGGACATTCTCATTGTCCGTTAAAGGGGTTTCTTGAGCGTCTTCAAATCGTTCGTCTTCATTCCCATCGGAATCATCCTCACTCATTGCATCAGTGAATCTCTCAGAACTGCTCCCATCCGACTCCTTAGATCCGTCTTGTGCTCCAAGTCGAACTGGGTGTGAGTCAGATTGATCTGGCTGAGCCCCTTGATGTCTAGGGTCATACGGAAGGGGACTTAGTGTGTTGTCACCCTTTGCTGGCTCTCCACTACTACTTGTGACGTGCTTGTCCCCGTCTTCTCCACTACTCTTGTCCCGGCCAATCCCATCCACCTTCATGTCTGCGGATGTCCTCTGTGCATTACTGTCTGTCTCGTGACTGTCTGTCTCATCACTGTCTGTCTCATCACTGTCTGTCTCATCACTGTCTGTCTCATCGGAGCTGGTGCTTCCGACTTGAGTCTCTTGCCCCGGGTCTCTGAGGTTTTGTACTGGGGGATCAGGATATGTCAAATCATCCAGAATACCACGCCGGTAAAGCGGCTCGGTTGGCCGAAGGAATGGCAAGTGCATGAGATAGATTTGCTTGTTGGGCTCGTTTCCTCTCCCTGTGAGGTGTTATTGGTCACGAAGTCTAGCGAAGTCAGAGAAGCGTGAGAGTTCTTCACCAGGAGACGTGGTGATCAGATCCGAATTTTGTGATATTGTATAGCTAGAGAGGATGATAGTGGCCAGAAAAGTAGGTGAAAGAGAGTAATAAGAAACTGAGTTGAAGTGTGAGAAGAATTTATGACTCTCCTTTGTCCGCCTCACACAGCTATTTTACTGCTTCAAGTTCAGTGTTTCAAGAAAGCCACATCATGAAACTTTTAACCCTTCCCCTCCTAATCTTGTCACTTGGCAACTCTTGTCTTGAAGTATGGGTAACTGAGTGGGTACTATAGCGTCTAAGGTTGGTGTACATGATACGTGATCCACGGAAGCCGCGACACTTCCAGGTTAATGTGACGAATGGTAGATCCGTGCGGCTTTGGAGGCGCAGATTGGGACTGCAGTATTTTAAAGGATCCTTCTGTTGTATCAGTCAGACGCGCAGATTCATACTGCTCTACTCCCGTCCCCTTTGAACACAAGGCAAATGCAGACTCTGTGTCATTGAATGTAAAGCGCTTCTGGGCCTGCAGGATATGCTGAGAATATTGTGAGTATTCTCTTGCTGGTCATGCCTCACGTCTCTCACTGGTCACCGGTTTCCGCTTCGTTGAGTGAAGTCATTCGGTCCGCCATGCAACAGTGCTAATGTACCAGCTTGTGGATAGTCAAAAAGATAGCAGGGTGATGGTGTTGGGGGTGGTAGGTAACACATTGGACAAAGGGTGTCCTCAACATAGGGCCAGTCTTTTTTACCCCACAACTCCACCGATGCACCGTGTCAACACATATCTGTGCCATCGTTTGAATCAGTACATCGGTAGCTGGTACCTGGTACTTGAAAATGCCTATAAAAGCCCACACACGATAGGCTTATCTTCTCTGATGGAATGTTCAATGTCTGGGTGCAAAACGTGAACCACTCACCTTCTCCTGTCCCCTAAGTACATCCTACAGTATCATCACTCTTCTCCCTTTCCCCTCTCTTCACGTTTCATCCCGTCTCATTAATATAAAATCTGTAGCATGATAATCTCCTGTTGGAGCTCTTTCAATGCATACTTTAGGACTCCTGGGTTGCTCAATTCACTAACCTTTTGTTATCATGTCCAAAGCCACCAGACACAAAGTATAAGATTGTAGGGAACTTTTTCCCTGGTTCAAAAACAAGTGAACATGCATACGGGATATCAACCCATATTGTTGATTGCAGTGTATCCGAACGTGATATCCCCTAATTCATATCTGAAGAAGTGGTGGAGTAATGGAGAGCAGAAGGTGAAGACCGGCGGTCATCTCGAATTTGGTCACAGGTGTGCCCTACAGTAAATGTGATGGTGTTTTCCCAGATACCAGCATCTACTTGCCTACTATCACCACTCTTCTTCGGATGATGAAGCGTCCTCTTCTGGCCTTGTGCGTTCCCCTAGGGCATCGGCAAGCGAGCGGACCTTCAAAGCATCTATCAAGACTCCTGTTACATCTTCAAATCTCAATTTCTCGTAATCTTCTTTCAGTTGAAGAGTTAATCTTGCGGCCAGAGGCCATCTTTCTGCTTCAAAAGCACGGACCAGTGTCACACCTGTGATGCCTCTCCACGAGCGTGTTTCCCGTGTGTGATCATCTCCTGACATATGTCTCACACGCAGGCATAAAGCTTCTACTGAGGCTACCAACCCCAACATGGCACTCACCTTCACAGCCCCACCTTCTTCGTCAATAGCCCGTAAACGATTCAACTCCTCTGAAGAGAAAGAGGACCCCCTTGTGGGATCCTTCATCACCTCTCCAGCCAAGTCGCGGAAAATTCTACCTGACTTGAGAAGGAGTGTCTTGAGATCCTCTGACGTAAGCCGCACAGAGTTGTTCGAAGAAGTGTCACTGTCGTAAGAAAAGTCGCTGTCATCAGAACTCTGACGAAAATCACCGTGTTGACCATATACATTGTGGAGTGTGTGGTGCATTGGACTGCAGGAACTGTCCACCTCTGACCTGCTTGTTGAGACTGCTGTCTGCAGGTTGCTCACCTTTCCAACTGTGAGTAGCAGTTGCGCAGCCTCAACCCACTGTCTTTTCATGGCCAGCTCCCAATACCTGTCTCTTGTGGTAAGGAAGGGTACCCCAGAACTTCTCTTTGTCATCTGGCCCGTATTGTCAATGCAAAATCCCACCTCATCAACATGGTCCATTTTCTCCTTTGCTGTTCTGATTGCTTGACCCGCTTGATAGCCTGTGTAAGTCTTGAGGAGTAAAAGCTCAGATTCTGTGAGCTGTCCCTCCCGTGAGGGCATCTTCAGGACCTCTTGGCACGCCAACTCCATGAGAGCGTCGATGTCCAACGGCATGGTGTTTGCGTCCCCCTCATGTGGAATGGGCCTTGCCCCAAATACTCCCCCTAACTCGTCGTCCCAGTCCACGTCGTCCCCGTCCAAGCCGTACCAATCCACGTCGTCCCAATCCGCAGGGTCCGAGTGCTCACTGCTCACAGAACTCATGAGTGTGATGTCGAGGTGATTGCTACCTTGCTGGTGGCTACACTTGGGTTTGAAAGAAGAAGGAGCGCTTCTCTTTCTGGAGGGGACTGCAGAAGAAGTATGCTAGGTATCGTGTACGGGGTGGAGAAGAGTAAAAGATGATTGCAATTGGAGGTCTGGTGTTATGGAGCCGATCAGGAGCTAATAAACGTAGGTTTTGAGCTTGAGATCTGAAGACAATATAGAGTGGAAACAGAGGGGATAAGTTATAAGCTCACTGTCTGAGTTGAAGTGTGGGAAGATTCTCTCCTCACCTTTGTCCGTCTAACACTGCTTCTATGGTCAATATTTCAAGAAATCCACATCAACATTCATATTTCCCCATTCATGCCATCTCAAAAGGGTCGAAACCATATGAATCACGGATTGCATGCTCGGCGCAGTGACACTGACTCGGGCCCTCATTGGATGGCATGTCAGGGAGGAGAGATCCAAGGGGCGCCGCACGGACTCATCTGAACGCGACTACACACTCAGATCTCAGACCGATGGCGTCACTTATCGAAGTCTCAGGATCACCACCTCATATAACCTTCGAATCGAAATCTTTCATCTAGTACTCCTCTTTAGCTGCATTGATTTGTCCTCTCAACTTCACTATCCTTCCTGCAGCCCTGATGTATTTGAGCTAGGTAGATACCCTTCTGCCAATTTTTCATGACAAACTCAGAACTCAGCTCATGGTGATGTACATACTCAAGGAGCGGTAACAGGGATACAAAGCTCAATATTACATGCATAGACCAATCTGGAGTTCCTGCACTATATGTTGGTTTCTTCAGCTGAACTGAGATATGCTACACTTCATGTATGTGAGGCTAGATTTGTTCATAGTACAAGCACTCACATGATGATAACTCAATAACTAGCAGATAAGCGGGTTTGAGGAAGGTCACAACAGTAGCATCTACAATACCATATTCACTCAACTCCTGGAGCCATCACTACCGCTATGCTTTGATTGGTCAACACTCCCCTCTCTCACACCTTCACATACACATATCAGTCACAAGGTCTTCCAAGCTTCCCAACCATATTGCCCAGATCTGATAGACACTTTTGATTCACCTTGAGGCCCCAGACATCTATCATGTCATACCCCGCATCCGTCCATCGTCCTTGGGCTGCAGCTCGACTCAATGCGTCCGTGATGAGTTTGTCTCCTTTGCTCCCAGTAGGCTCAGTGGACATCACATCATATGCCTTGTCGATAAGCGCCTGACGAAAATCTGCAAGATAGAAACAGCGATCCATATATTGGATTGCTTCTGGTTCACCATTGCTTAATTTCCGGAGAAGCTTCACATGTTCGGGGGAATAGTGAGCGTCAGGATCTGCCAATGCATGCTTGGCTACACGACTGAAGAGCGCAGCCGAACTGTATTTTGGAGGCCCAAAACTCTCTTTTCGGAATTGCAGATTAGTGACATCAGGGTAGAAGCTCTTCTTGGCAGTAGAATTTGGGCCGCAACTCATGATGTCATGAAGTATGGGGTCATCCATATAATCTGTAGACCTGTTATTGACAACATCTGCTGTTCCATTTACTTGAGTACCTTCCTCTGGAAATATGGCAGGTGGACTTTTCCTGGATGACAAAAGATCAGCTGTATTACTGAGCTTATCATGAGAGCTTCCTGTGAGCTCTGGCAGTTCTGCTGGCCCCATTGTCCGGCCACAACCAGGATTGTTCTCCTGTGACAGTGGTGCAACTTGCTTAGAGTCAACGGAGAAGTGGGGGAAGTGACTGTCGCTCACCTCACAGTGCAACCCCTCCTCATCCTTCCCACCTTCGGCTAGTTCCTCCAATATTCTCTGCAACCAGTCAAGGTCAGAATCCTCCTCTGAGTCACAGTCGGAGATAAAGCCATCATCTGAGTCACTGCTTGTGCCGGAGTTGTCATCTGAATTGGTTCCTTCATCAGTATCCCTCTGAAAGGTCCTCTTGGGGTCCAGAGATGGCAGAGGGACTGACTGTCGTGCAGAAATGGGAACTACAGAGGGCACAGTCTTCACTTGACGGTCCGAGATTTCGGTCAAAATGCCATCGGTACGCTGTTGGCCAGGAACGCTACCCTTCCTAGTCCCCCATGCGGTACTTTGAGCCGTCATCTCTTCTCTGTGGTCTAGAAAGTCTACTATTGTGGTACCAAAGGTGGATAGATCGATTTATGATGTATAAGGACGGTATAGATAGAGCTGGTTGGATAGGATAAAGAGTTGTTGTAGAGTAGGGCAAGGAGCAGATCATGAGTTTTGAGTGTGGGAAAGTATGATACTACCTTTGTTTCATTTCACACTCCCCCAGCAGCTACAAAAAGTCCACCTCATGCTCCCCTCCTACCCTCTGAAACGCTGGCCACAGGTTTCCTCTCTCCTTCTCATATTGGATTCCGGGGAAGGATGTTGTCTCTCCACGGAGATTTAGGTTATCAAATATGTCTTGTCCCATTAACCCTTGTCTCATCACAAGAAGTGAAGAAGTGAGTTTCACCACAGTGAGAATCAGCCTTGACTCTGGTGGCCCTTTTCAACAGTTCATTGTAGTGAAACATGTCACAAGTATGTCATTGATTAATCAGCATACAACATATTCAGTTTATGTATACAGAGACCGGGAGAAACTGTCATGACCGGAAAGTGAGTCATTTGTCATGCATTGTCGAGCTTCGTGTAACTAGCCCAAAACAAGCGCTCCGTGTGATACCGCACACGACTCGTAAGCTTCTTAGATAGATGACTCATCTACTTATTCATTCATTGCTAGGCAAATGATTCAGCAGGATAGGTTTTAGATAGATAAATAGGTAGATAGAATGATAGAATGCATACTCTTTCTCTTCAATTGACTCTCTGCATTGGAGACGTTTTCGGTACTGATCGATTGCGTCTTACACTCCGCTCGAGAGTTGTCGATCTCGGCATAAGTACTGGCAGTGACGGGAACATGAGACTCACATACATGCACTACTGTAACATTCTTACATGTAGCAACCCATGTGGCAAGCAGCAATCAAAGATAAGCTATCACCCAAACCGTGTCCACAACTACTTTCCTGGACACTGACATCTCTCTGGCTGCAGCCAATTGATCACCCACGCCTCAAAACTTCCCCCACCTCCTAAGTCTTTGGATAGTCTTAGATAGACCGTTCATTGCTCCAGTCAACTTTGTTGTTTGTGTTCTCCTTCTCCCCATGTCATTAGCCGTTTCCTCTGATATCAACAGCACACCTCCCGCCCCACCCCAATCCTGGGCTTTGCATGCCGCAATGAAATCATCCACCAGCGGCATCCCCTCCGAACTGTCAAAAGAAGGAGATCTATCGGAGCCGTGATCTAAATATTCAAATCGATTCAAGACTGTTTGAAGAGCTGCTGTGAAAGCCAGCTTGTCTGACATGTGCTGTGCGTATTTGTCATCTGGGCTGGCGCACAGCAGGAAAGTGCCCTCCTCTCTGATAGAATACAGCGGGTTTTGGAAAGTCATGGGACCCTTGTGTCTTGACGATTTCCTTTGAAACCTACTGAAATCGGTTGCCCGCTTCAGACACTCCTGAGCGGTTTGTCTGATAAGAGGTATGAGATCAGGGTCTTCATCTCCATCCGATTGTACTTGTTCATCCGTATGGCTATATGGTGAGTTCTTATGAGCAAATTTTGAGAACTCTTCTGATGATATTGATGAAGTGCTGTCTGATGGATCTGATGAAGTCCTAGGGTGAACAGTCAGTCTAGATGCAGGTTCTCTGTACTCTACAGGTGAACTGTTCTTTCTGCTGTAACTCAGCCCTCCTGTTCTGGTTGCTGTCCTGCTTTCCTTCCTAGCCTTTGAGCTCTGTCTGTCCCAATCATGTTCCGTCCTGTCAGGGTGAAAAGCCTCTGCCCCCTGCCCCAAAGTCTGCAGAGCTTCAAGTGCAGTCCGAACCTTATCTCCTTTACGGAAATCTATGCACTTAATTGATCGAAGAGCCACCAGGATAGAAGCTGCCACCTCCCAGTTCTGGTTCATCACTGCGTTTTCCAACTCTGTGAGCACATCATCGCTGTTCACCAGCTTCTCAGCTCCAAGCATCAGCAACAGCTGGTCTTGCAGAGTCTTTGCAGCTTGTCCTATTTCCAAGCAGCGCTTAGAAAGCTTGACAGTTTCAGAAGCTCGTGAGTCAAGGAATGACTGAAAGTAATCCTTTTGTTCAGGCTCAAGTTCGAGGGCGGAGAAAATGGGGTCCGGATCCCTCAAGACGTTTCTGCTTACGTCTTGGCAGAGCTTTCCAAAGGGAGTGTTGATCATTGATTCATCCTCTGCCATCCATCCAGCTCCTAGATTGTAGGGGGCCTGGGTATCTTCATCACTGACACTTGATGTGTACGTCAAGGGCGTCCTTTTGGAACTTCCTCCTCCAAAACCAGAAAGCTCATCATTAATGTCCGCCAGTGAGATTGGTACTCCTGCGCCAATTTCCTCGACATCACCACAAGATGAATCATAATCAGAGTCTGATGAAGAATCTCCGTCCCACTCGCCCTCCAATTGTCTAAGTATTCTATTGATTTCACTTGCTGAGAGCTCTGTCTCTACATCTCCCAGTGGTGAACCGTGAGGGGAGCCTTTCCTTATGTGGTCTTCCCTGCCCGCATCTGTGGTCATTTTGGCTGTGCGTGACTTTGTTTGAGGAGGTGTGGCTGAGAAAGTTGTTTTTCTTATGGGTTGGAGCTGTTGATGAGTGGTCAAAGTACGAGGAAGCTATAAGATTGATGGTCAAAAATGGCGTAGATGATAGTCGGGAGAGAGAGGGTAGTTTACGAAAGTTGATAGAGAGCGTGGGAAAGATTGTATCCACCTTTCTTTCCCATTCACACTGCCTCTATCATTCTGATAAATCCACATCATTACCCTTCTTTTGTCCTTCATAGCTGATGAGGAAGTGCTCCATGTCCTCGAATAGTAGATTAGTATCCAGAGGTCACGACCAGGCAAGTCAATAATGTGAGAGGGGTGAAACCCAGCATGATCCATTTTGTCCTGACTTTCGTGTCAGGGCGTGCAATCAGTAGCTTCGACGGTCTACCGATAATTACAGTACTTCATATTTGTTTCCAGGACCACCATTGAAAAAGTACCAGTTAAAATTGAGGGATATATTTATGCATAAGAAGGCGAGCAAACAAAGGCAAAAGTTACAACGAGTGTAGCTTACTTATCCCACTGCCAATAGTACTATTAAGAAAACAGTCTGAGACTTTCAGCTCTGGAGTTGCACGCTTGGAAACACCCCTTCTAGACCTATCCAGAGAATCATGCACCTCGGGGGGTGACCGGACTTGGCCGCAGCTTTCTCAACAGTGACTCCGTGGAGCAAGACTTGCCAATACCAATTTCTGGTGGATCTCAGCTCCTTACCCGGTTCCTTTTCTTTGACATTGATGGCAACTGGGCAATTCGTGAGTAATTATTCAGTCTCCACACTCCCCATGTTAAGGTCTTCTTAAATATCCTCTCGTCAAAGGCTGGAGGATTACCGGGAAGAGCTGAATGTATCTCGATCAATCCCTCTAGAAATTTTCCTACTCAGTTGTACATTTGAGATTGTGTATTGAAGCATTCCAATATGTCAAAAGCTTGAGATACAACATCCTCAGAGCAGGAACGTCCAAGCAGCCAATCAGCTCAGGAGTGGAACATCTCCCTCAAGATCCAATCAGTTCCGTGCAGCTCCGGGAGGGTCTCGCTCCGGCTGTGTCCTTAACAAACATTCAGATGATTGGTCTACCGCAGATATCCAATTACTGTCAAGCCTCTCCAATGTCTCCGACAAACTTCTCAGAGCAGGCTGCAACATTGTATTAGTCTGTACTCTACTGGCCTGCTCATCAATGTCGGTGATCGCCTCTGCTAGGTCGCTCCATCTCCTTCTGAGGAATAGTCTCCACAATTTCCTTTTCCCCCTTTCCCATACATCTGTTTCCCAATACTCAGCTGGTAGTGTGAGTATGTCATCACCCTCAAAAGAAGAGGAGGAAGACAAAGAGGTATCTATGTCCAATATTCCACCCTCGATTTGGTCCATTGCTCTCATGACTTTCTTATAGTCCTCGATAGATGTTAGCTGTTCTACTATAAACCTAGAAAAACTTTGACCCCCAACCGCGCAAGACACCAGTACCTGCTGCCCACGATGGTTGATTTTCCTTTTGAGATCTGGATCTTCAAGGGCTATCCTGCAGGCATATGTGATTGCATCTTCAAGGCAGTCGATTTGAGTTGGGTCCGTCAGTCTGGCTGAAGAATGTGTCCATCGTGAGGCAGAGTGAGAGGGAAGGTGGGTTCTTGTGGGACCAGGGGGACTTTGATTTCTCCTAGTTGGACCGCGGGGAGGTCGCGGATCTAGTCCAGTGTCCCTAGTTGCTTTTTTGCCCTGGAAAGTTGTCCCATTTCTGGGTGTTTGTCTCCTCCTATCAGCTGCTGAAACTTGGGCTCTATTCAGATCTCTTCCAGAAGTCTGCTGTGAGGCATTAGGAGTTTCCACTCCACGGCGTCTGGTCTGAGGAGTTGGAGCCGAAGCAGATGGTTGAGTCGACCTGATTGATGTGGGACCTCTGAACCGGTCCATTTCTCTCCTGGAGTCCCGGTGTGGCCCACCGGTTGTCCTGGCTGAACCAGTAGGGTCCGAACGAAAGGCGAGCAAATTGACTTCTGCCCCATCATGCAGGTTGACTGTTGTGAAAGCCGTGTCTGAATTGGATCCTGCACTTGAGGAATGTTGTTTCATTCTGGGAGTTTTTCTTGCTCTGGATGTACCTCTTCTGTCGGATTCATTAGCTATGCAACTGTTTCCACGCGATTTGACAGATTGGGACTTTGTCGGAACTTGGTGCTGAGTCCGGCTTACTCTATGGGCTGTGTCTTGAGTTCTTAGGGCCTCTCCTCCCCTCCCAGTAACACTGGATCGTTGATCTACTTGATGACTCTCATAACCTCTCCCCGACGTTCTTCTTCCAGAGTGCATTTGATGCGAATTCACGCCATCCAAGTGGATTTTATACATGAGTCGAGCTGTTTCTCTCCAATCTCTCCTTTGGACTGATTCTAGTAATATGGATTTTATGTTCACAGGTTTCCGTCCACCATCTCCTTTTGTCCATACACTGCACGCGTCATCTAAGCGTTTTTGGGCTGTTTCTAATTGCTTCCAAAGTTTACGAATTTCTCGGTCGTCATTTTCACTCAGGATAGATTGGAAGAATTTCCTTTTTTCAGAGTTGAGGGTCGAATTGTGATCGTGCAACATGTGTTGACTTGCAACTCGAAAGGCAGACGACGGACTCAGTCGTTTTTTATTCGTCTTTTGGGAGGCTGGAGTATGTTCCCTCTTGTCTAAACCGGGAGGTCGAGCGTAAACGTCACTGGCTTTTGTGTCACGGGTCCGAGTGGGACGTGGTTGATCTGAGGTGGAGGAGGAGTCACTTTTATCTGAGTCGCCTAAGTCTATGGTATACCTGTGGGGATTTGTCCCCATGCTTTTGTGGGTAAATATTTTGTCCTTTCGATCGGACAATGATGTGTGCCCATCAATTGATCGCCTTCTCTTGGGTGTACGGTTGTCTTCCTCAATTCCGTCAAATGCCAGTAATTCATCTTGATAATCCCTGAGGTCATCAGGGGCACTCTCCTCCTGGGTCACCAAACCCCCTTTATACACATTATACTGATCGCCATCGTCATTTGGATCAGACAAACACAGAGCGTCCAATAGATCCGAAAGAGACATATCATCCTCACCATACTGACTGTCTCCCACTCCGTCGTTATCACTTACCAAAGACGGCTTCTTCTTCTCCCAACGGTTCGGCGCTGTTTTACCAGTGGTGGGGTCCCTCGACATGACATTGGGGCCACGAGTTGTCATTTTGTCCGTGCGTAGCAGATTGGATGCAGCTTGTTCCGAGTGTACAGATGTGACAGTGTTCAAATCTTGTGTGATGCTTTCTTGGTATGAACGTGTTGTGTATGTTGAATGCAGAGGGATGAAATGAAGAAGAGAAGATAATAGTTGAGGGAGAGGGTAAATTTGTAGAGGTGAAAGTAGAGTGTGAGAAAGAATCCTCCACCTTTGTGTCCGTCTTCCATTCTTCTTCATTGCCTTTTCTCTCCTTTCAAACTTTTCTTCAAAGTTTGAAACTCAATCTATGCATTGCCCGTGGTCGGAGATTCATCTTTACGTCGTCGTCACCAGTCGTCGCCATGGACCAAAAGTGCCACATTGTCGAAACCGCCACTTTGCCACATTGCCACATGGCTCCCTCCCTTCGACATCCACCCTCTCTATTCATCACTTCTCATACATATTGACAACATGCCTATAGGACCTACCCTCCCACCTCACCTCGCTCGTCCTACGTCGGAGTCAGGAGATGAAGATGAAGATGATTATGGTCCAAGTCTACCTCCTCATCTTTTAGCTGCTCGGAACGCCCTTTCGAAAGAAAATGAAGATTCATATGGACCTACTTCCTATCCTTCCATTGGTCCTTCTCGATCATCATCATCATCTAAACCATCTATAGGGCCTATAGGACCATCTCGACCATCTCTTGATGTTGATTCTAATAACAATAATCGGAGACCTCAACAAAGAGAGCAGAGAAGGGAAACGGACGATGAAGACGACGACGATGAGATAGGTCCTAAACCTGATCACACACCTGGAGTGGAGAAAAGTGCAGTGGAAGAGTTTTTGGAAAGAGAAAAAAGAAGGAATGAAGCTTTGGAAGATGATGATAAACCTAAAAAACCAAAAAGGGAAGAATGGATGTTAGTTCCTCCAACATCTGGGGTTCTAGCTTCTGGTAAGTCAAATAATTTATCTTTTCTCTTGATCCTTCCCAATCAAATGTGAAGTGAAACTCGCAAACTTTTACAGGTATGACAAGTCGTGAATCATGAAAAAAGTGTCAGTATATCCGTTGGGACATCAAACACTGATCTATCACCGTCTCCTGAGTTCAGGGATGTGATAATTGACTTGGGACGGCAGAGGGGGAATTAATAGTGGGAAAAGGGAAAATCTGACCTTCAGTCGACCCACTTCGTAAACGTCCTACGACATTTAATAGATCTTCTAAAATCACAGAAGTGGATACAACATGGACTGAAACTCCTGCTGAACGGATACAGAGGGAACAAGATGAACTTGCTGGTGTTCAACGTAAACGGGATCCGGTACATGTTCCTGGTGGAGCAGGGGAAGATGTGAGGAAAAGAAGAAGAGATGAGGAAGTTGCAGAAGAGATTAAAAGACATAATGTGAGTTCATCTTATGTCCTCATACCATGTTGTATTCATTCTCATTTCCTCATTTGCCTAAATGGGAAAATCATGAACATGCATTAGTCCCATGTTGGATCTGCGTGGGAAGGCTTGAAGAGTGAAAGAGATCAAGGCTGAGAAGGATAGAAAGAAATACGAGGTCCATCTTTGATGGAACAACATTCCAAGAAACCAAAGAAAGAAGAAGAACATCCGGTCATTTGGGATAGAGAGAAGATGCTTGGAGTAGGAGGGAGGTTATTGAGTGAAAGTGAACGCGCACAGAAGATCAAGTGAGTGACCCATTAATCGGCTGATCATCTTCCATGCTTTCTTGAAACCTTGCTCGAATTTGATTCTTTGTGTGCATCAGGTTATGTGGTATCCGTCCCTCTTCTCTCCTTCCCTGATCTACCTTCGCGACCGTCCTTTTCTTCGTATGTCTTCGACCAGGGAGTCGGGTGGTGTCACTTCATATCAATACACCACACCCACTGAGTTATTGAGATATATATTGATCATCAGGGATGCAAAAGGGTTAAACGATCGATTCGGACATTCAAAACAAGGGGCCTTTTCCATATGACATGTTCTTGGTTTTGACCTTATTGAATTATTTCAAACGGCCAACCGTTGGTGTTTTGAACAACATTGTAAACATGACTTCATTCATCTCATACCCTTCTTGATATGAACATGTAGTCTACAACCCTAGTGTACTTAAACGTAACGTTGCACCACCACTGCATTCTGCAATTTCGCACTCTCTACCGTCTCATCTAAATCGGTCAATTCGCGATTCGGGAAAGTCGTTTGTAAAACGAATCGTCTATTATCCGATCGAGAACTGTTAACATCAGCCGAGTCAGTTTTTCTCGATGTTTACTTATTGAAAGAGCACTTACGCAATGACAAAACCCCTTAGATCTCCGACGGTACTTGTCAAATTCACTTTGACTACCAACCTAGTCCCATCTGCTAATCTCAACTGAACGTTTGTAGTAGGTTTACTTTCATCCACCGAAAATTTGGTAGGTATCGTTCCCGTTCCGATTCCAACTCCACTCGTACTTGAACTCGTGCTAGCTCCTGAGATACTTGAGGTAGTAAAACTACCTGGCATATGATTTTGACTTTCCAATATTCCTCCTCTAGGTCCCACACTGGATTCGACTTGAGGAACTGGACTTCCTAACCTATTCCCACCTCCTTCAAATGGTTTCATAGGTAGTTTAGGTGGCGGAACGTAATTTTCTCCAGTCTTCTGTTCAACCTCCAATTGTAAAGGTTGATTATATTTGACATTAAACAAAGATAATGGTGCTCGACCAGCTTGAATAGTCTCTAGAAGATCTCTTGCACCAGGATCATCATATCGATGAAGAGGACCATTTTCAATACTAAACCCATCTTTCCAAAATGTCAATCGACGAGTTTGAACTTCTCCTTCTCCTCTACCTTGTTGTGGTTGAATACCCACTACACCACTTGGTAAACCTCCAGAAGATGATGGAGGGGGAGGGATGGGACTGCCGGGAGGGATAGGATCATCTTCTGTTCCTAGGACGTTACCACGTCCTCCGAATGCTGTAGAAGGGATATCGTTGGATCTTGCAGCAACCGCAGAAGGGGTATTATCGGCCGCTTGACGAAGAATATCATCAACGATACGACGAGAGTTTGTACCTCTATCAGGGTTTTGAATGGCTAATCCACTAAAAAATCAGCTACGATGAATGTTGAGAGATGATTTCAATTCTGGTATTTCGGACTTACCTCTTTTCTCCACCTGCGTAAAGGGTTTCACCGGGTTTCGGAACTTCGTCGTCTTCCTATGGTCGTTAACTTCGATCATAGTAATGGAAAAATGTGGATGACATAGTCAATGAGTCTGGTACGATATTTACTCACATTCTGAGGAGCAGAACCTGGTCGCCTATCAAGTAAGTAAGGTCAGAGGGACAAGAAACGACTGACGGAGCAGTGAGTTCAGTGAGTGTACTCATTCGCCTAGGAGGCTCACCCCATCCAGGGGGCAATTCCGATTCCACCACTTCACCTCCCAATGTTCTGGCACCGGTAACGGCAGCGGGGGTAGGTAGAGGTGATTCGACCGCTTGAACGGGTGGCGTGTCAGACATTGGTGGTTCGTCTTCTACCTGAGCGGCAAAGTAATCTTCAATAGCACCCTGTGGAATCAATGTGGGACGTTTTCGACAAAAAGACAACCTCTGCCCCATGGAGAGGCAAAAATTCAGACCAACGCGGTAAAGGTTAGAGACAGATGAGGTCATGAAGTCATAAGAGAAGAAAGGGAGGGGAAGGACAGACTTACTTCCAACGTGGTACCTGCGGACAGAAAGTGCTTCGCGTCCTCAGGCTTGGCTTGGGTTATAGACACGAATTGATCGATATCTATTTTGTGAGATCCTCCGAATACATGCCCTCACGTAGAGACTCACCCTGCTGAGTAGGTTGAAGGCCGGGCATGACCCAAATCTAGCAAGCTTAAGAGAAGGAATGCGTTGGGAGATAGCCAACGAGAACGAGACGTCAGCGCCTGGTCTATAAAGATGTCACGTGACTTGGTGTTCAGCGGATATCGCCGCTCATGACCAAGAGATCTGTGCACCGCTCCTCCCCCCCTCCTCCACCTCCTCTTTCATCCCCACTCTCATTTTGGCTAACCCGCCACCCTATCAGGATGACGACCGATATCAAGAGTCCCCCTTCTCCTTCTCATTCCCAGGAAGCGCTCGAAGCTCCCCCGTCTTACGATGACATTGCCACTACCTCCGCCGGTTCTTCCGGCACGACTGAACCATTCGTCACTCCTTCTCATATGGCCCATCTCTTCTCTCGCGTACCCAACGGGGAGATACTTGAGAAGAGACTTTCCCCTCTGGCTACTGCCACCTCCATGGAAAAGGTTGGATCTAGTGCGTTGGTAACACATGATGCTAGACTTTCGGATCGTGAGTAATTCCCACGGATGTCAACATTCCACACCAAAGGCTGATGTCGAATAGCTCGGATCTTGTATGACTTCTTCCTTCATCAAGCTTTCCAGATCCCACCGATTAAGGTTCATTGCATCGGCGCGCATACCGAGATTGCGGATCGGGATGAGTATGTGACCAACGATGGCAACCCCAGACAAAGGAAGAAAGGAGAGCCGGATAGGATTATCGATTTCGATTTTTGGGTGAGTTGACTTCCTCGATACTCAACCATCCCCACCACTCGTTCTCTCTCCACTATCATAATATCTGTGTTCACTTCATGTGTTCTGATTTCACTCTTGCTGATATCATAGATTAACCTGACCTCCGCGATCAAGCACGAAAACAACCACTACAATATACAAATGCCCAATGTCCGTCCCCACGTTCCTGTGCATCGTGGGACTTATAATCCTTCCTATGCTGCTCTATTTGCACCCAAACCCCGTAGCCCGGGTCACGAGTATGCCTCTTTAAATATCTCATCTTTCACCGACGTAGGGCGTTCGGTCACTTCGTCCGAGCGAGCTTTATGGACCCAGTGGGCAGTGTTTCGAATGCTCAAGGGTCTCCCCTCATTCGCTAATATGTGGGAACACTCTGAATTCTGGGACAAGCACAAAGATACCCCGGCAGGTCAGAATCTCGTCTCCTTGCGTGAGCGATTCGAGGCCGAAACGGACCCTGATTTGATCAAAGAAGCCTACGAACATCGGGCTCTAAAAGATTGGTGCGAGGCCTATTGCGCAGATCCCGGCATACTGAAGGAGTTTCAAATGGTCAAGGGTATATGGGGTTGGGATTTCGAAGGTCTTGGCACTGGTGCGCGAACATGACTCTCTAGTCGATGATGAGGCTGACAGGTCTAGCAATCAAGACTGCCATACAATCGACCGGGTATCAGTCGAATGATCTACGTGTCGAGTTTGAGACGGAGGGTAATGTCATCATTGTCCGTCCAGACAACGTTCTGAGTAAAGCTCTCGACAAAGTGAGAATTCTCATTGTCTTATGGAGGTCACGTAGTGCACGAAATCTGATGAACCAGTTTTGGGTATTCGTCTTATGCTGGGCTTTCATGATTTACCCTTTCATACTGTTATTCAAACGTCTCCATCCTCGTGGTGGAGCTAAGTGGGGTCCTACTTCCATTCAGTGTAAGTCTGTCTCCGACTAGATCCCCATGTGCATTATCCGAAAGTTTAGGCTGACCCCCAGATTCTATGAAATGTTACCCTCCTTTACCCTCAACCTTCCCCAACGAATCCCTCGAGGCCGCTCAACGTCGTCTCCCCGAGATACTCAAGGAACATCCAGAGGTTCCGCGTTTCGCAGTCCTTCGTCCGGGTCCTCAAGGTATCCACTATTTGCTTGGTAGGAAAGAGGGAGAATGGTTCCGCGAGTGGGAGGATAGGATTCGTACTGCCACTAGACTGAGATACAAAGGACAGTTGGAAGGAAATCCGGACGTCGAAGGTCCACCTCCTGAACTAGACGGTTATTGAGTGTTCAGAGTTTTATCTTGTACGTCTTTCGTGTATTTGGTTGTCATGCAAACTTGTCGGCTCTTTTGACTCAGGTCTTTAAATTTGAAAAACACCCCTGATCTACTCATCGAATTTCCGACATGTATCCTTTTGATGGTCTCAACACGAATACGCATTGTCGAGTCACAATTATACATATGGACCGCGATATCTCAAACGTCGAGCTAAAAAAGGATTAAAGAGTCTGGCCTCTGTATCTTATAACAAGCAGTGCTATAGAATTACCCTTTCAAGATAACGAAACATCATCTTGAGAAACTTCTAGAACATCAAAGGATCGTCCCCGTTCTCGACGGCGCCCCCTACTCCGCCGTGTTTCGTCTATCCAAGCCGATCAAGGCGAAACTTTGTCCCCTTCTCTTCTTCGTCCAACGTCGCAATCAACACCCAAATTCAGCGGGAGAAAATGAAGTCTTCACGTAATAGGAGGTCCACAACCACACGGAGTAGAACCATACCGAGTAGAACCACACGTTCGACACTCAATGAGGACGAATTTACAAAACCTTGTGAGTGTTCCTCTACAACTTGCGCCCCACATTGTTTCAGTACCACCTCCGCGGAGTAACAATCGTTTATATTATCACTACAATGCGCTAAGTATAGCAATCCCTCAAAACTCCCTCAGATTCAAACTCCCTCGCAACAATGAAGTGTCCATCGACATGGGGGGCGCAATCCTGAATGTCAGAGCTGGAGATAAAGATGGAGCCCTCGACTTCACTTACAAAACTCGGAAATCTCGTGATGAGCCCACAGTGGAAAGCACAGTGCAACCGTCAGTGGAAGAGGTGGAGGGGAACCAGGGATCCGATGATGAAACGGTGGTTGATGACACGGAAGATCGATCATCTGAAGAAACATTGCACACCGAGCCAAACTCTCGTGAGCCGTCGAAATCAGATACCTTGAGAAGTCCCACTGATCAATCAGAGAAGTTCGTCCCTGTGCCGCCAAACTTGAGCACCAACAGAGCTTCCGAAAGGTCTCACATGAATGAGGACGAAAGTGAGGGTTGGGATTGGGTAAGATGGGCAGAGCTCCTTGAAAATCCACCTGATCCAAAGTCTACACCACGACGGCAAACACGACAGTCCACAGGTCATAGATCAAGAAAAAGAGGGTCGAAGAAACCGTCTAGGCGTAGAAGATCGGATGTATTCGATTCTGATTCTCGGACGTCCTCTACACAATCGTCTTCGCTAAAAAATCCACCTGATCCAAAGTCTACACGACAACGGCGAACACGACAGTCCACGGGCCCTACATCAAGAACAAGAGGGTTGAAGAGACCGTCTAGGCGTAGAAGATCGGATGTATTCGATTCTGATTCTCGGACGTCCTCTACACAATCGTCTTCGCTAAATGAACAAGTCCCTCGTTCAACGACGAACCCCAGATATTCACACTCCAAGCGCAACCGACACCATCGCCCGACCAACCGACGTCACACTCAATCTCTGCCACCTCGAAACAGAAGCTCCGCACCCGAGTATAGATCGAGACGAGATTATCCGTTCGATAGTCTCCCCCGTGACGCACTAGGGTACAAGATGGTCTTTGTGCCTGAAACACTGGCAGAGAAACTTGCAGAAACAGCTCAAGACATGTGTGCCGAGCAATCCTCACCAACAAGTAATCGATACGGGCTCATGACACGAGAAGAGAGGGCAATGATGACACTACTACAGGATCCCCACAACGCTGAACGCTTCACTGACTGGGCACACTTTCTCGATTGTGTGGATGAATCTACCCATGAGTTTGAGCAATATGAAGGGACAAGGTGTAAGACGCTGATGGGGCATATGATAGCCTTCGAGAGCGAGATGCCTCATGATATTCTGGGAATGGTCAGACATATCTGGTCTGATATGACACGAATGCAAGAAGCATTACGCAATGACAATACTACAGGACTGGGTAAGAACCCTAGGGTTAGTTTTGCCCCGGAAGAGACACTAGGTCCCTCCGGAGCACGTCGGGCGTCTCCCACTCGAACAGCTGAAACCGTTTCCCCTTCAACTCCTGCCCCTGCATATACAGCCACTTTACCAACTGTAAAGCCCACAGATACAGGTGTTTCATACATTCCCCCAACTATCATCGTAAACCCTCCAATCGCTCATTCCACAACTGTCCCCACTGCTGGTATTGGAGGAGGTGCGACCATAAGTGATCCTCGCGTTACATCCACGCCAAATACTCAGGTGACTACGACACCTCCGACCAGAGGTAAGCGGAATCCACCTCCTGTCCAACCTGTGATCGATGACCGTTACATCACCCGAGGTGACAACACTAAGGATGACAACACAAGTACGAATTTTTTCAAGCGGGCACGGGCGAAGTTACGAAAGTCGAGGCCAAAAAACCGGGAAACTCGTGGAACTACAAATCAGCCTACTGCTACAGTACCGACTGCACGCACCGAGGGCGCGTTTAAAAAGACGCTAAGAAAGATTGCGTCAACGTTTAAGAAGACAAGAACGACTACAGTGAATGATGCGGACAGTGAGACGTTGACGGATGAATCATACAGCGTCAGACTACCGTGAGTAGATGTTTGTCATAGAGAGTTTTTGCTAATATAATCAGTTACCGACCTCCAACACCTCCAAGGGGATATAGAAGGCCACCAGGTATATTAAAAAACGGAGGGACCACGGGAGTAGCTACGGAACCGTCAGTGCTCATTCATGAAAAGGCAACAGACGGCTGATAAGTCTAGAACCGTACCTGCGACTACCACACAAATCTCATCAGTCAACCAAAGAACGTGAGTTCTTTCACATCGGGTAGATATATGTGCTGATCTTATAGGGGGCCTACAGGGACCGATGCCCGGACACAGGAGCTTCCTGCGGGAGATCACGAAACATCCAAGAAACCCGTGGAACTCTTCGACGTGTTCGACAAAGATAGTAACATTGAGGAAATGTTGGAGAGGCAGCTTCTCGGGCCAAAGCTTGGGGACCTGCATCAGGAATCACCGCTGCAGAACTGGCGGTATTGGAATCGCTCAACATCGTATGTAGATAGACAAAGAACAGAATGGTTTTGGTCACCGGCAACGGAACGTTGGTGCAGAGCGCCAAAGACACCGAAGGAATACGTCCCGTATGGAACTACAATGCTTTCAGACTATAGTGGCAGGACTGCACGGTAAGTATGAAGGTATGCATGTATGCGTTCAAGTCTGAAGGATAACTTATGGGGAAGAATCCAATGAGGATATGGAGAGAGAAGAGGGTATATTATGGTGTAATGGCTGCGGACAGGTAGACATATTGTAATGAAGAATTCAGAAAGTGAATGAGTGGTTCCAATAGGAATTTGTCTATGTATCACATACTACCCCTCAAGAAATGATGTACTCGATTTGAGAGGGCGGGGCAAGGAGGGTCAGATGAAAGTAGATATGTTAGGGACACAGCCGGAGACGGACAGGTCCGGAGCTACACGGACCTGATCAGACCCGACCCTGGACGGACCCAGCCAGAGAGTCTCAACACCGGGAAGATGAGGAGGGCACGAACAGATGCAGCAGACTAGATACATATGATCTGAACACCCTTACATGTGAGTGATGTTTCCCCATGATATTGTTTTCAACTCTGACTCAACTGAACCTGTTCCTCATCACCAATACACCATGCCTCTTGGGCCAATGTCTTCAATGTTTATATAATTGTGGAGCAACTGTTGCAGGGGTTGTAGGTTCAGACTAATTTCAGAGCGGGCTACAATGTGCCATTGATGGGAAGAAGGGTCAACTAAGTATACTTATTGAGGAGAATAGTACTTCGGCAAGACTAGCATTGATAACTCTGGCTGGGTCTGGGCACCTCCAGAGTGGCTCTCCAGCTGGGTCCAAGAGGGGTGTTTTGAACCGTGCGACTCCGGAGTAGAATGTCTCCGGCTGGGTCCTTAACAGATACCTGCGGATCACACTGTCAAAGAGAGTTATTTGTATCCGTCTGAAGGTGTTTGAGATCAGTACGGAAATGACCATGGATACCTTGGTTTGTTGTCAGGAACTGACTACCCCTTATAAGGGAACTTAACATCTACCAGGCAGATGTCCAGTATTGAGCCTTTTTGCGAGAACGTTATGATGCAGGTCCCTTACTGCATTCATGACATTTGTGGTGAGACCCGGTCAACGTGTTCAATCGATTCAATATGTCACGACCGGTACTCACGAGGAAATGGGCTCCCGAAAGAGATATCTTCCTACCTAGCTGTCGTTATCTGATGAGGTCAAAGATGTACAAGCAGCTTAGCCTCCCATACCTTCTTCCTTGAAGGCGCGCCGGATCAGCATTTCCTACGAGAGGCTCAAACGTGTCAGGATCACGACTACACAGGACGGGTTCCTTAGAGTTGTACTCAGAGTCGTACTCCCCTTTTCCCGTTCCCGTCCCCATCTTATCTTTCCCGCTACGGACCACCCTGCTCTCCGTTTATACCTAGTTGCTAATTCTTCATCCTCCAGTAAGTACTTTTTCTCATCTCTGTGTCCCTCAATCTTTCTTCGTCTTCCTTTGCTCTTCTTCCTCATAATATTTTTCATCTTTACTCCATAGATTTTGGTATCACTCCGCTCCCTTTTTAGTGTATAGAAATAGCCCCTTTTGGTAGATGTCTTGTTGAATGTATTTTCTTGTCACTTAGTAAATCTTTTGCCCCTTGATCTCATCGACTTATAGTCTTGTCACGAACTACGTCGTGACACCTCGAATATCCCACCATCAACAACCCTCCTTTGACCATCAAAACCCCTATAATGTCTTAACTTCTTCACCCTACACGTAACTTAGGACATCTGAGACCAGCTACGGCGAAGTACAACGGGAGAATAAGGTGTACAGGGGTCTGGAGCATAAGGACACCGAAGTGCGGCGAAGTTAGGCGGAGCTAGGGGGAGACCAGGGACAATGGAAGCAGAAGTACGGCGAAGTCAGACGGAGTTAGGCTAAGTAGGGACAATGGGACCCGAAGTGCGGCGATGTTAGGCGGGGTTAGTCGAAGGGAGGAGAAGGACGGCCGGGGACCGGGGAAGTTGGATGAAGTGTGTTGAGGTACGCCTAAGCGCGATAGGGTTGGGTGAACATCTAGGAGGAGTGGATAATATCAGCTGAGAAGATCACTGAAGTTCCCTTGATTGTTGTCAGTAGTGAAAGATTGATAGAGATAGCTACATTCAAATTGAGATACATTGCCATCAGTAAAAACCCCTAGTCAGAGTCACTATGTCAAAGTACGCGGTAGTTACACTCCTTTCGACATCTGCACCCTCCTGGTTGGGTGAGACATCAAGCCTGAAGTGTCAAGTTAGCCGAGGTTCATGGACCGTCGGTCCGTTAGAGAGAAGTTATTTGACGGCCGTGACAACTGAGTACCACAGCTGCAGGTTCCGTGCCCAGGCAGCCAAACACTGCCACATCGCCACACTGCCACATTGCCACGTTAATCACTTTGAGACATCCACGTTCAACCGAGTTCTCTCTCAACTCATACATCGATCTATGTACTCTTCACCTCTTCCATCTCCCCCTTGTGACCCATAGCCGGATTGTTACTATCCTCTGGAACATCAACGTCATGTCCAACCCCGATGCTGAGAGAAAAGCAAAAGCAGCTCGTGCGAAAGCTTTGGTAGGCTACTTTTCTAAAACTCCTTCCTTACCTTCTTCTGCCTGCTTCATCGGCGACTTCCCATTTTACGCTCAAATGTTTCTCCCACAACCATTCTCATTGTTCTCATAATTCAAGGTATACGTTATAGTCTGATATCAAACGCTCTCTCCGCTTTCTTCCCTTTTCCACAAATACCTCATCGTCCAGGGAGCTGTCAATATGGGTATCGACTCGAAAAGCTATGTGCTAATGTTCAGCTGGCTAAACGACAAAAAGAGAAGGCAAAAATTACCGATAACAAAACTCCTTCATCGCCTTCTCTCAGCACTGCAGACCCCGTGGTTCCCTCGACTCGTACAAGTCTCAGTATAGAAGATCGACCTGAAGACGTCAAAACGCCCTCTCTTCCACCTGCTCCCATACTCGAAACTCCTGCTCAACCTATGAAAACCCTACCCACTCAATCAGATTCATCCGTCATTGCGAGCACATCTCCTCCATTTTCAATCACAGAGTCGAAAGTTACCCAAGAGGAAGCCCGACAGACCGAGGACGAACCGGTAGCAGTAATTCCACTCCCATCAAAACAAAGATCCTCATCAATATCCCCAGACGCAGAAACACTCTCCACACTACAACAAACCGTCTCTCTTCTCATTTCTGAAAGATCCGAGCTTCAAGCTAGAATATCAACTCTTGAAACATCTTTATCCTCCGCTAAGGCGGATTCGAAGTTGCTCGATGAGGGTCGGACGTTGATCAGTCAACTAGAAGAAGAAGTTTCTTCTCTACAAGCACAATTATCAGATGCAAGATCTCACGAAGCTCAATCTGCTGTGATGGAACGTGAACTTGAGGAGGTACGTGAAGAATTGGGTGTTTTAAGGGAAGAAAAGTCTGTTTTGATGAGAGAAAAGGATGAAGTGACGAAAGGTAAAGAAGAAGAAAGAGTGAAGGATAGAGAAAGGATGGAAGAAGTAGAGAAAGCATTAGAAAGATCTAGAGAAAGAGAAAGTGGTTTAGAAAGTGAAGTAACTAGATTGAGACAAGATAAATCTAGTGTGGAGACTCGTTTGGAGAAGATGATTGAGGAATTGGAAGATATGAAGAAAAGTTCTTCTTCCGCCCTCTCGGAACTACAAGAGGTTAAAAATTCCCTTTCAACACTCAATACGACATACGAAGAACTTGTGACGGAACATACATCATTGAAACAGTCCCAATCGGAATTACAAACCGTACACGAGACTCTACAATCTGCTCATGGGAAGACCAGCGAAGATCTTTTGAAATGTCAAGTTACGTTGAAGAATGCCGAGAAAGAATCGGAGAAAGTCAAAGGGGAACTAGAGAGGGTCAAGGGGTTGGTAGAAGGAACGAATAAACGTATTGATGTGACAGAGAAGAAAAGAATAGCGTTACAAGAAGAAAATGCTGAATTAATAAAACAATTAGAAGAAGTAAGAGGGAAAGTAATGATAACTCAAGAAGAGAAAGTTGATTTGGTTAATGAAGTTGAAAGTTGGAAAACGAAATCGAAATCATGGGAATCAACTAGAATGGAATTGGATGAAATTATCAAGGGGTTAAAAGATTCTATTGGAAACCAGACATATGAACTGGATGCTTTGCGGGAAGAATGTGATAAATATCGAAAAGAAAATGAACGAATACGAATTGAATTGAAGAAATTTCAAGAAACGTCAATACAAACACAAATACAAACGATCAAATCTTCAGATGAAACGAAAGAACGATCTACGAATACGAATACGAATATGTCTCAACAAAATGGTCATTTGATAGATTCTTCGAAATTACATTCACTCGAATCTTCTCTTCAAGCATCAGAAACACGTGTCAAAATACTCTCAAAACAATTATCAGATTTACAACTTTTATACCATAAATCCGATCGGAATATAAAATCACCAAGTACAAAAGGATATTTCATCTCATCCGAAATTGATAATGATGATGATGATGGACGTTTTCCAACTTCTCGAAATGTTTCAACTCAAGGATTAGGATTAAGAGATAATAGAAAGTTAGACGCTGCTTTACCACCTAGCGTGAGACATAAACGTCAAATCAGTTTATCAGCTTTGAAAGCCAGGATGGAACCCAGACATATTCCCAGTAGAATGGACTCGTTAGTAGAGGAAATCAATACGAATGAGATGATAATGGATAAATCAGGAGAAAAGGTGAAAGGGTTGGAGAAACAATTCGGTGATGAAATCATGTTTTGTTGTGCTGCTTGTGAAGGGGATCTCATTAGTTTGTAGATTTATATGATGATGCATGATGACACAACATTTCTTGTAAAGTGAAGTAGATCCTAAGTGATTCAATGTGGAATATTTTTCATCTATGCTTTGGTGGGTATCATATACTGGAAACTGTCGAATGGTCGTTCTTCTCGTCTAGACATCGAAATGGATACTGTAACCCCGATACATTCCATCCGAACTTTCCTAGCCTGAGTGACCGTGACTTTGAAAGCTTGATTTTCCGTGAGCAAGAGAGGGGAACGCGGAGGAATGGAGTGTCAGAAAAAGATTGAAGGAAATGGTGTAAATCTTTAAAATGGTGAGGAGGAAATAAGAGACGATGATTTGACCCAAGAATAGAGCCTATCCAATGAAAACAGTATCATCAATTTCTATCCCGAATTCTTCCCTTGCCATAGTTCCTAATTGAGCTTGTAGACGATCTTCCCATCCTTCCCCATTACTCCAAGGTGAGAATCGTTGTTTGGCCCTGGTGAACCAAAATGCCAGATCCACTAATGAAAGGGTGAAAGTGAATAGCGCATTGTTCAAACGATCTTTGAGCCACTTTGATAGCCCGACGGAATAGATAGACCGGGAGGAAAGAGCGGTGTAACTTTTCGCTGCCCACTATTATGGTTAGTGATTGAATTTACCAACATGATTGATACATGTTCCAACGGAAACAACTTGCCCGACCTAGAAATAGCTGATCATATTGTCTAGCTGAATTATCGAGCGTTATGAAGTGAATTTGATTGATGATGGGGAGAAAGGGGAAGACAGAGAGGGTGCGGGAGGGGAGGAGAGAGGGAGAGAGGGGGAGATATTGACTCACCTTGGCAGTAAGGTTGACTCTGGCACTGGGTGAACCGAGTATTTGGTTATTGGCTTGCATCATACGTTGACATCGAGTGAGAAAGATGATTTCCTGTATGGTCAATCTATGATTGTCTTGCGCACGCTATATGGACAAGAGGATGTACACCGCTCGGGAAGTTGGCATAACGTGGAATTGTGAGGTGGCGGGGCAGGAGGAAGGACAGACGACTCACACGAGGAATCAAAGCTTCATTTTCCAACATCGTTTTGAAACGTCTTTTCAACTCTACTTGTTGTTCATAAGCCGACAAAGGTTTTTCAGAAATGACAGACTTGTTTTTGACCACTTGAAATGGTCTTAGAAGGATAGCGGATGCAAACCTGGGGAATCAGTCTGTCTTCCAGTTGTGACAACACGGATGATAGATTATCAAAGAAGGCGCAAAAGAAACCGTCACATATGATAGGTATGTCGAGTGAGGGAGTGACGTTATCTACATGAGGCAAATGAAGAGAGCATAGGGGCAAAGAAATCATCAAAGGCAGGTTGTGGATCTTGAGCATGTGGGGACAGAGTTGATGGCCTAGTGATCTGCGGAAACCAGGGACAACTGACATGTTGGCATCTAATGCAATCCCCCATCCTCTCGCAATCTCTTCTATCTTAGGCACATCCAGCACGAACAATGATCGCCAAAGGGTACAATAATCTTGTCTGAACTTCTCAGGAAGAGGGATGTACAAACCATGGTCGATCAAAATCTATCGTCAGCGAATCTTTAACAAACACCCTCAGTCCAGCTGATAGTATATAACTTCGCCACGAGGAGCAATTCTTGCTTATCGTAGCGAATACAACTGAGAATGGTGACGATTGATGAGTGAGCACCGACGAAAACTCACAATCTGTGGTTTTCCACGTTTGGTAGGATGAGGTCGAACAAGTATGTTACCTGGATGAGGATCACAATGTACAAAACCCCATGAAAAGGTCATGGCGGACATGGTGGAGATGGCTAGGTCCATGACTTCGCGAAGGTTCAATTTCCATGCTTCGAGTTGAGCTTTGTCGTTCAGTCTGAGATGTTAGTCCTTCTGGATGGCTTCACAAAACTCTACATGACGTCCACGCGAGCCATCGAGGAGCCACAGAAGGCTCAGGGAGGACAGGCTGGGATCATCGGGGAGATAAATTTGTAGAAAGCGAACAGTCAATTCGACAAGTGATCTGATACTGGAACTCACCGACAACCATCAATCCATTCCATGACCATGATCCTATCACTCTCCACGCATCCCTCGCTTTTACCATACACTCTAGGAACATACACATCCTCTCTTAATTCTGGTGTTTGAGCCAGGAGTTCGGCACACCGACGGGCGTTAGAGGCTTCGTGAATGAATGATACCTCTGCGCGCATCTGGGTAGAGACGTATTTCGCGCTGGGGGTGAGTACGACCACATCGTTAGTCAAACACATACTCACACGAAATATGCTTCTGGTCAGCACTTCTTTTTACGAATAAACATATGAAGTATAGGAGGTCAAGCAGCGTTCTTGCCTGAACGACGAGAGGGGCGTTGGAAATTACAATCTGTAGATGTAGGAACTCACTGGGTAGATCGAACAATTTCTCCATCAACCACATTAATGATCTTCCCATCAGTTTCTGCTCTTCAACAGGCGACATACTACAACAAACACATAGCATTTATCGTAACGATTTATCAAGACAGATGATCATGAAGGTGGTTGATGACATGAACGGCGAGAGAGGAGGCACACTGAAATCTGCAGAGTTGGTTCAAGGTGAAATGGACGTGCAACCTACCTATACGACATCAAATCCCATTCCATCTGTTTCTCAATCGCCGGTTTCTGTACTTTGACAGCTACTATCCTCCCCTCGGTCTCTCCTTCTGACGGTTTGAGAGTCGCTTTGTGTACTTGAGCAATGGAGGCGGAGGCGAGGGGTTCATGAGAGAAAGAAGAAAAAACGTCAGTCGGTGAGAGAGAAAGATCACGTCGAAACACCTGTGATCAGGTTTGTTACTACTCGACAAAGGAACAAACTTCACTCTTATCATCGAGATAGCTGAGGAACGGAGACATCAAGCCGAGAGGGAAGGTTTTGTGCCGAGGTTGAATAACGGTCACAGTGGGAAGGACTCACTCCTTCGACTTCAGAATACGGAACAGATGGAGCTCGATCAAAAACATGTCCAAAGGCTTCTCTATACGGCTTGGGCAAAAGAGCGGCTTGAAGCCCTAAAAGTCAGCTCGATGCCATTCGACGTTCAGCTGCAGACGGTTTCGACCCTACGTTTTGGCATGAAGTCAATTAAACAAAGAAATGCAGTGAAGACCCAGAAGAGTAAAGATGATAAGGTACGTAAATATTCATCTTAAAATCAGGAGACCGTTATGATCAAGATGGCTAGATGATTGTAACTCACCCAATGCCTGTCCCAATTTGAGATACAATCCCTGATTCACATCCACAACCCATCGAAGTCGTTTGGCTACACGTTCATGAAGAGCATCGATAGCTTCTGCTTTACTTGGAGAGAAGTTGATTTTATCTGTGACTCAGCATCGAACCCTACTCATGTGTCCCATTCGAATTTCACACTTGATAACCGATGTGATCCTCCCTTAGACTCCAGTCTTCATGTCTACTTCAGAGTCCTCGATTTCGTACACACGAAAGATTGTCACAAGACAGATTGGAAGAAAGGCCACAAAAGAGAACACAAATGGAAGAAAGAAGATATGACTGATATGGCGGGTGTAGATAACGGTCAAAATGAAGAACTCACAATCAACAGTACATATAACTCTCCCTCATTAGCCTCCCTCCCGATCTCTCCGGATTAGAGGACTCACCCTACCGCCGCAGTCCGCAAACTCCTCGAAATGGCACTGGCATTGAAATCTTTGTCCAACAGATACCCTACACCTCCGATACTGAGCCCGATACCTATACGTTTACCCCATCGGGTGACTCTGGGAAAAGTTCGTGTGGAAGAGGATCTGACCTGTCTGGGGTGAAGTCGATCGAAGCGTGCTTCTCTTCCCACAGATTTGAATAGTTTCGATCTGTGCAGATGTCTCGTTGCCGCATAGATCCGACTAGGACCAGGTGTAGAGAGAGGGAACATGACAAGAGGAGGAATGAGAGAAGAGATAGGGGAAGGAATGGAGTGAGGGAGGGAGATGAGTTTTCGATCGGAGTCAACTTTTCAGAAATGCTTCACGTTACGTCATCGTACTGATACATACTTACATATTATCAAGATGAGCCCAAAGGGCCAAAGCTGTGATATGCATGTTACAAGATTGGTTCTACAAGCATGCTACAAGATGATGGTAGAGATTGTCCTAATGTGTTGATGTATCGTGATTGTACATGAATGTACTGGTTGGTGTGAGTCATGGTGGCTGCGGGTGGCATGATGCGGTAGAGGAGAGATGATCGTGTGAGATGAGGATGAGGGATTGTCCGTGGTTTTACTACAAGATACTATTTGTTACATTGTCCATTATGTTCACAGGAGAGTCGTTACATCATGAAGAGTTGAGTCAAAGGGTGACGAGCGAGAGATGAGTTTGAGTCGAGTATAGATTGGCAAGAATAGGAAGTGAGCAAATGGGGAACTTTTTAGTTGAGAGGTGAATCGTCAAAGAGCGAGTGTTAGGTGGACGAGCTTGAGTGTAGAAGAGAGCGAATCAGATGAGTTAGGGGGAAGGGATAGAGACTTTTGTTTTGAAACATGTTTGATACCTCCCAAATACAATACCTAATCCATCCTATTTACTTGCCTCTCCTACCTGTTCTCCAAATAAAGACCTACGAACAGGTATCCACCCATCCATTAACTTCTCCTCTTCATCTTTCGACTCCATTTCATTCTCCGATTCCGAGTTTATAGCGTCGGTGGGTTTGGATTTTCGAGTAGGAGGTTTCAGTGGTAAACCTCTGACGATACGCTCAGCATTGGAGACGGGGAGTAAGTCGGCGTCGTGACCGAGATCATTTCTGATCTTATGTTTAGTTGCCCGGGATCGACGCTCTTCTAGGGTGTCGAGATGGTGAAGGGGCTTTACGAAGGCAGAGAGGAGTTCGGGATCTCGGATTGATTCGAGGGATGTAGGTTGAGGGTAGATGGCTCGTCTGGCGTAAGTTGGGGAAGTGGAAGGTTTGGGGGCGATAGCCGCTTGAGCAAGAAGAGGGGTGAGGAGCATGAGGAATGAGAAGACGAGCATTGTGTGAGTGTAAGGGTTGAGAGGGGTTAGGAGCAGTTGACCGGGGTTGATTGATCAAAGTGAGTTGTCGGATAAATGTTACTTTAAAGGTAGAGTCGGAGAGGATATGTTAGGGATAAGACAAGGTAAAGAGAAGAGTAGAATAGAGAGAGCGAGATTGGTTGTTGTGGAGGGAAGAGTAGTCGTTAAGTAGTGTTCGATGAGTGAGAAGATATGATTCGTATCGATGTTGGTCGTCAAGGTTGTTCGTTATGGATGTCGTGAAAGTCGTACAATCAAAAGAATGTGGGGGTGCCAGTGTGTCGGCTTCAGTGGTTTGCTCGTAAGGTTTGAGCTGTGTGAGGAAGAAGGAGAGGAATGACTTGATGATTTTCCTCTCAGATATGATCATCTCTTATACATCTTGGTGGGTCCGACGTCAGAAGGTGAGTATGTCAGTTTTAAAAGCTATGCGATGCATGTCATACGAAGTCGTACGAGTGATTACACAGGGACGGATATCAGTATACCGTTCTCAATGTCCACAGAGAACTCAATTTGGCATTTGTACGACGATTGTTTCGAGTGATCATCGCTTCGCGTGACTTTGTCGTTCATTTTTTGACTTGAGACGGACCAGGTCGTCCGATTTGGACATACCCGTCAACATTTCCGGAATCATGTGTTTCTTGCGGGTCATGTGAGTCGTTTATGATGGCGAGTGACTGCGTATGGTTATCAAAAGGAAAGATGGTGTGGCCGGATGCAGAGTATTCTACATAGCACGGTTGAGGTAAGTTAATTTTCCCACGGTCGTCGTCTGGGTAACTTCCGTCGGAACTCGGTTCTGAAAAAGTTGGCACTAAGTACTCGGTGTTGACTTAGTTGAATGTACTCGTTTTTTCGCAACTTGGCAGCATGTCTAAACCGTCACTATAATGCAAATGGTAGAATGGAGAGCGTGATATAACAAAAAGATGAGCACTGAACCTCTCTACACTACGAAGAAACGAAAACGAAAGCTCCCTGAGTCTTCCTCATCCGGATCCTCCAGCTCATCCTCTTCCCCCCATGTGGCCCTACCTCGCCCCACTACGCATCGTCTATCTACCGATGAAGACCTATATTCAGATCCTCAGAATCAAGATACAAACCTGATCGAATCCTACATCTCTCATCTCGACGCTCATATCAACTCCTCCCGTCTCGCACAATCTGCTCTCTCCAACCCTTACCTTCGTGCGCACTCAAATCATATCCAGTCATCCCTCATCGGTCCTACCTTTACCGCGTGGTCATCAGCAGAGAAACGCTCATTCTTCTCATCTCTTTCTAGACATTCTCGATATCGTCCCGCTCTCATAGCTGAAGATATCGGAAAGACCGAATCAGAAGTGTTATGGTATCTCGACTATCTGTCTCAAGGCGCAAGACGGTTAAAACGACTAGCGAGACATCATGAAAAGGGATCTTTGAAAAGAGGAAGAGTTTGGCGTTCTGGATTAGCCCCTTCTGCACGGGAAATACCTCAAGATGAGATCGATTTGGAGGAGAGACTAGCGGAAGAGGTAGAGGGACTGGCGATGGAATATGAGAGAGGTGAATGGGAAGCTCAGAAAAAGGAAGATAGACTGAAAGAGGGGTATGCGGTGGAGACGACAGCTAAGAAGAGCATAAAAGAGAATGGATGGAATTGGACAAAACTTAGGAAAACCGAGTTACAAAGTCAATTAGATATTAAGTGGGGGATGGAAGATTGGACAAGGGAGATGACTAGAGAAAAGTTGGAATTGATAGATGGGATTATGGTTCCTTCTTGGTCGACATGGCTTTCACAACGATCATCTCGTCGAGATATTGCACTTCCCCCTTTTTCAGATATCAACACGAAGTCAAATCACTCATCGTTCGAAAAGAATCAAGAGCAAATCGAGGGGCCTGAACAAATCGATGATGACGAGATAGGTCCAAGGAAAGCGAAGAAAGATAAGATCGCCCATGAAACCGCAGAGATCATCAGGTTGAATTCCATTCCGAAAAATAACAGAACATCAGAGGAAAAAACTCAATTGCATTTCTTACAGAATAAGAAACAAAATCGTGAACGATATCGTACCAAGTTACTTCTCAATGAAGGCATGTCAGAAGAACAAATCAAGAATGAAGGAGGAGCTGATATCATTTTTGCTCTGAGGGAAAAGCGTCCGAAGAAAGATTACAGTAAGGAAATCGAAGCCCGTGCGAGATCTCGATCTCTCGGCTTACCCAAACCATCGACCAAACCTCAAATCTCCAGTGAAGTGTCGGTGGACAGTGAACCTAGATTGGACGGGGCCGAAGATGAGGTTCAGGATGAATTAAAGGAAGATGGAGATGATGGAAGAAGTGAGCGGTCAATGTTGGGCAAAACGGACAGAGAGAAGTTGAGCGATCGGCATGCGATGGATTGGATTATAGGAAAAGGTTGGGATGTTTTTAACTTTTCAAGAATGAGAGAATTGTTGGTATTATCCGACACTCAGGGAATAAGTTCAGAAGCATTGAATAAGATGTACCTCGAATTAAAGGCATTCCTCACGAGGCTGGTGTTCGATACGATAACCCTTGCGGAATCTCGACAATTCTCTACTGGTAGAATTCGTGATTCATCTTCCAGAAAATCAACACACACTCTGACTCCTGAGGATGATAGTGATAGTTCTGTTCGATTCGACGGGGTGAGTTGTTATTCGTACTTCAGCTAGAAGATACGAGGCTAATGTGACAGGATAACGATTCTCGGGATGACACTCCTCGTCCAGGATCTAGGGGCTGTTCCGATGACGGGTTAATAACGGTCGACGATATTTACCAAATCCTCTCTTTACATGACTCACCGCATCCCTCTGAACGAATAGCGAAAACGATTAGTAAATGTTCAGGAGTTGATCTGAATACGAAACAATTCTCGTGGTCCGTTCTTCCTCCTGGTGATTTACCGTGGAACATGTTACACCTTTATCCCCCTCTTGCTCCCCTTGTTCCCCTCGATACCTCCACGATTAGTACCACTTCTCATCCAATCCATTCAAGTACCCACCTCCACGATGATCGAATTACACACGGAACAATCTTGGGTTTTATTGAAGAAGAGGATTCCCCGGAAGTGAAGGAAGAAGTTATCAAATTGCGAAAATTACTTGAGAGGGATGTTGATGATGGTATGACAGAAGATGAGGATGAAGAGTTAGATGAGAAGATGGAAAGGATGGATGAAGCTTATGATCGATTACTCCCATCGGTCACACAATCGACTGAAAACGATTGGACAAATCCATGGGCGTTTGAATCTGATGCACACATGGAGATTGACCATGCGGACTCGATGATATCTCCGAGTATCTCGTCCG